ACACTCCACCAGTCCTGCCCCAGGAAAAAGTCCCGCACCGCTTTCAATGGAGTTCACAGAGTGCTCTTTCCCGGGGCGTTGGCACCGTACACCAGAGCTCACCTGATACTTTAGCTGGACTCAGATGCTTACTGTAAAACATGTAAGAGGGGAACATTCTGGGCACTGGAGAAGGAGATCCTACATGAAAGCAGATGGGCTGCCCACAAAGTGTCTAAGTATCTCGTTTCTGCTGAGGACAGCAGGTGGTGTCAATCACCTGGCGCGTAAGTGCGAACAACTCTGGGTTATCGTGAAAGCTGGGTCATACCAAGAAGGTGTGAACAGAGACTGAACTGCTGACTTCAACCTCAAAAGACACAGGAAAATCCACCTAACCAAGCTCATGGTGCGAGAGATCTCCTGAATACTATGGCCCATTCCGGGGGCAAGTCTTCAGATAGTTTCTACCCTGTAAGCTTTTGAGCCACTTGAGGTTATGGCTAAGTGACTCCAATTCAGAGTGGACAGCTGACCCAGGCTTGAGGAAGACAGAGAAATGTCCCCGATAGCGTTTTTCACGACTATGAAAAAAGTGCCTGGCTCTTTTGGGGACATGCGCATAGTCCAGGCTGGGGTGAGAGTGAGGAAGGGATGAGAAGCAAAATGATAGGCATTCTTTGGGCATTTTCCTAAGGACAATGAGGAGTCACCGCAGAGTTTTAGGCTAGTAGAAAAGATTTATCTTTTATATAAAGGATGTAGCCTGGAGGAGGTGCAACAGGCAACAGACCTCTCGGCCCTGAGTTAGCAGTGAGGACACAGAGATGTTCAGAAGACTGAATTGACTAGGTTTAAGTGAAGTTTCCAGAACAATGCCCAAATTCCTCACTCGAGCAATGAGGGAATGGTGATTCCACCTGATGAGATAAAGCAACGCAGAAGTACTGAGGCTGAAGAGGACCATCAGGCACATGACGAAGCCAGTGCAGGAGAAAGCAGGGGCCGGAAGCACACATCTGCCCATCACTGGGTTCCAGCAAGTGGTAATGTAAGCTGCTGCTAAGGTACAGAATTGAAGACAAGTGCCTGGGGCAAGAATGCAGGCAACACCAGTGCTCAAACAACGAGAGAGCGGTGCTGTACAACCAGGGGTTCGAGAGAGACCGGGTGAGCCACCATGGGCACCTCAACCACAGGCACATCACGTTCCTTAAGGTGACAGAAAAGACACATTGAGTAACGGACGGCAAAGTTGAAAAACAAAAAGGAATGTCAGCCAGCACAATGGAATTATGAGAAATTCCCAGAAGCTGAGAAGACCACATCAGCAAAAAATAGAATACATGTCAATGCGGCTAACAACAGCTTTAAGGTGACATCTCCTTCTATTTCAATAGGAGGAAAGGTAGAAAGAATTAGCTTCTGTGTAAAGTGGCTGGTCTGGAGGCAGCAAGCAGGAGTTTCTGCTTGATGGCTTCCATTTTCTGGGTAAGCTAAGCAGCCAGGATGTACGCGTGGGGCGTGAGGTAGGTTGGGAGGTGGATGCGCTGCAGCTGTGCAGAGAGAACTACTGGACATGGTCTCCATGGAGAACAGAAGAGAAAGAGGAAAGGAGGGTCACGATGTAGCACTGAGCACACAGACAAAAACCACAGATCAGAAATGGAGAGTGGCAGGAAAATGTGGAATACACACGGCTGGTTTCAATCGGGGTCAGTGCATTGTTCCCTTTCAAGAATCCTAACCTCCAACCAGTGTCATGAGCTCTACCTGCAGAGGTTTTTGAACAGACGTTACTATTGTAGTGTTAATAACTAAGAATTAAGCATAAAACACAGGGATCAGCAAACTTTGGTTTGCAAGCTAAGAATGGTTTTTACATTTTTTAACTGGTTAAAACAATTTTTTAAAGGCAATTTGTGGGGTACCTGGGTGACTCAGCCGGAGACGCTTCTGACCCTTGGTTTTGGCTCATGTCATCATCTCATGGTTCATGGGATTAAGCCCTGCACTGAGCTCTGAGTGGACAGGGTGGTGCCTCCTTGGGATTCTCTTTCCCTCTTTCTGCCCCTCCCCTGCTTACTTGTACACTCTCTCTCTCTTCTCTCAAATACACTTAAAAAAAAAAAAAGTAGGCCTTTCGTATTAAATAAAAAGGCAATTTTGTGACACATGAAAATTAAAATTTCAATATTCAAAAAGTTTTGTTGCAACCCAGCCACATTCATTTGCTTCCACAGTGTCTACAGATTCCTTTGTACTATTTAATGGCTGAGTTGAGCGGTGGTGACAGACATCATTATGGATGCAAATATTTACCATTTTGCCCTTTACAGAACACAAAATGGTCAACTCCTGATAAAAAACAAAACTGTATTTGGGAAGGGGCACTTGAGTGGGTGGCTCAGTTCGCTGAATGGCTGACTCTTGATTTTGGCTCCAAGCTGGGCATGAAGTCTGCTTAAGATTCTCATTCTCTCTCTCTCTCTCTCTCTCTCTCTCCCCTCCCCCTCCTTTCCTTTGCCCCTCTTCCCAGCTCATTCTCTTTCTCTAAAAACAAAAACACCCCTGTATTTGTAAAGAAAATCACAGTCACTGCCTGATCCTGAAGATGGAGCTAATGGCACTTTATAAAATGGGGAGGGGGAAATCTGCCATTTTAATAATATCAGGAAGTTCAAATCAAATCCTGACATTTTAAACTCTGCACACTATGGTTATATATCCAGTTTATTCTTTCTTTTTTTTTTTAATTGAGAGAGAGTGCAACCAGGGGAGGAGCAGAGAGAAGGGGAGAGAGAATGCCAAGAGGACTCCGTGCCCAGTGCAGTGTGGAGCCTGATGCGGGGCTTGATCCCAAGACCACAGATCACGACCTGAGCTGAAATCAAGAGTTGGACGCTCAACCAACCGAGCCACCCAGGAACCCCATCAGTCTATTCTTAATGAATTCCCTCAGTGGCAGAGCTTCTGACAATCACCAAAGAAAAGTCAAACAGAAACAAATTAACAAAAATCCTCCAATAAGTCTTCATTAAACTAAAAAGCCGAAAACTTAGTCCAACAAAACCAGATGGGTAAGAATTATATATTGTTATAAAGCCTGATGAAGGAAAACCAAAAAGTCCTCTTCCTCACGACTCTGGCGAGGACTGTGGCTGGCTCTCCAAGTCTACTGAGGAAAGCCAAACGTGTGTGCCCGGCTCAGGTCCTTTACTGACACCAAACTCAATTTCCCTATTGATCTCTAAGAGACTCTTTTAAAAAGCATTTCTCTTTATTACTGCATAAATCCTAGCACCCAACCAAATTGTATTACTGTCTTAACAAAAATTAAAAAATTGTGACTTCAAGAAATAATCCAGCCCTGCTCTTATACCTTCCAGTCGACAAGACTTTTACCACTTAGTGAAGATGTTTTACAATTCTATTTTTAAAGGTTGTATAGATAATTATTGAAATATTATATATAAAACAGGTCCATCCAGATCACAGCTGTCTTGTCCTTTGGTTTATATTGTCAAGAAAATATTTCAACAACCAATTTGGTCAAGATTTACAGAATTTTTGCATTAAAGGGAATCCTACAGCTGTAATTAGTAGTAGCAATAGAAGTAAACCATGGTATAGTTATCGACGTGTTCAGTTTGAAAATTATAAACTTGATGTACATATATATGTACTTACTTATTTATAATCTCTACACCCAATATGGGGCTTGAACTCATGTCCCCAATTCCAAGAGTCACATGCGCTACCATGGAGCCAGCCTGCCGCCTCTGACAGTTGTAAACTTTAAAACAAACTGCTTACCACTGTGTTTTAAATCTTTATCTTTAATGGAATCTTGTATTCTTGGATAAGATAAATATACCTTCTGATAGAGGATAATCTTTGAAAATTGTTTGACAGTATAAGCAGTTTATAATCTTTAGCTGGATTTTAGTTTATGTATAAAATGGGATTTTATTATCTTTAGTGTTGCGAGTAATGAAAATATCGAAAATAGAAAAAAATGAGAATGGTATGTGCAACAATAACGTGAAGATGGTAAAAAAAACATACAGTAAAATTCATGAATAGTTTTCTTATAATTTCCCTTCCACATCTCCCCTTTCACTTAGGTTAGAAATTCTCATGTAGACAACTGGTAACCTAAAAAAAAAATACTTAAAATTTCACCACTGTCAGACATATTACTGAAAACAGAATAAACAAATACATTTTATAACAGTACTATCCTGCGAACCACAATTTCACAGTACACATGCAGATTATGCCTCACTATTTAAAATTAAGTATGTTTAAAAAAAATTTTTTTTTTAGCAATCTCCACACCCAACATGGGGCTTGAACTCGTGACTCCAAGATCAAGAGTTGCAGGCTCCTCTGACTGAGTCAGACAGGCATTCCTAAAATTAAGTATGTTTTAATTAACATTAAAAATTAAACAAGGCTCTGAAAATTTTTATGGACTACTTCAATATATAAAATGCTTTTTTAAATGTTACTACCAAACTATGGCCAACACTGTAGTTTGTGCTTTTGTGTTATTTAATGGCAATTCTTTTCTACACGATTGCTCTTTTAAGAATACATTTACATTATATTGCAAAAGAAGAAAACAAATAAAACGTTCACAGAAACATTTTTTTTCAACTTACCCCAATTTTTTTCTTTCATAAATAGTAAAAAGTTTCTAGAATACAAATTACACACAGTTTGACTAACTCTGTGAGTTGTGCTTGTTACTATATCCTTCAGTTTATACAGTCTTAGCCAGTTTCTCTTTGGAGAAGCTTAAATGGTTACCAGTGAACAATTTCTAAATTATGGATGATATCAAACGATTTCAATTGTGTTTGGAAAGATTATTACTATTTTGGAGCAATAAAACAAAAATGGCTTACAGTGTTTTGCTATCACTTTACCTTTTTTTATTATTCTGCAATACATCTGTGTATTGCAACACAAATGACATCCCATAGGAATAAATAATCTTAAATACTAACACATACCTTGCCGTGAGGATCAGCAAACATTCTTGTGAAAATTTCACATAATCTTTTCAGTTCAACTCGGCTGTCAAAATAACAAAGTAGCTAATTAATACCTTGCTGTAAGAAGAATTCATTTAAAAGTAACCTTAGGGGTACCTAGGTGGTTGAGTCAGTTAAGTGTCTGACTTGGGCTCAGGTCATGACCTCATGGTTTTTGAGTTTGAGTCATTGGGCTCTCTGCTGTAAGACAAAGCCCACTTCAGATCTTATGCCCCCCCTCCCCCCGCCGGCTTGTTCTCTCTCTCTCAAGTAAAAAAAACCAAACCCAAAACCCCAAAAATGAAACTTTAAAAGTAACCTTAGTTGTAATTAGCTTCTTATAAAAAGAAAGGCTAAAAAAACCCTGTCCTCAAAATCATAAAGTTTGTGGGACTTACTAATCAGGAATAAATACAAATTTATCAAATGCAACAATAATTCTGTTGCAACCCACATTACCTTAAAAGTTGAAAGTTACATGAAAAGAAATACAACTGAATTCCTTTAATGTAGCAGGACAGGGGAAACTGTACAAATGACATTCCTAGCACATGAATTTTATCCTTTATTTTTTAAAAACTGTTTTTATTTATTAATTTTGAGAGAGAGAGAGCATGCATGTGAGTTGGGGAGACGGCACACACCCGATGTGGGGCTTGACTTCATGAATGGTGAGATCCTGAGCTGAGCTACAATCAAGAGCCAGATGCTTAACTAAATGAGCCACCCAGGTATCCCTGATTTTTTTCCTTTAAATGCTAAGATGTTTTCTTTTCTTTTTTTTTTTTTAATGTTTTATTTATTTCTAGGAGAGAGAGAGAGACAGCGAGAGCAGGGGAGGGTCAGAGAGAGAGGGAGTCACAGACTGAAACAGGCTCCAGGCTCTGAGCTGGCAGTCAGCACAGAGCCCGACGCGGGGCTCGAACCCACGAACCGCGAGATCATGACCTAAGCGAAAGTCGGACGCTCAACCGACTAAGCCACCCAGGCGCCCCTAAGATGTTTTCTTAAATTTGGCCACCTGACAACTAAAATCCTTCTAAACTATGTCTACTCCCTTGCCACTGAAAATGATATACCAAACCTAATATTAACCTAATTTTGATGGGGCTAGGAACAGTATTCCAATGATTTATTGCAATTATTCATGAAGTGTGATATATACACATTAGAATATATTAGGTAGTACATAAACATCTATTTTAAATTAAATAGTTCTAAAACTTCCTAAAGGAAATATACAGCTAGTAAATCTAACCCTGATTTCAGATATCAAGTCAGGAAGCAGCCCTCTAATTTTCCACTACACTCAAACTTATGAATTATCTGAAACTAGGTTTTTTTTTTTTAATGTTTACTTTTTATTTTTGAGAGAGTGACGGGGCGGGGGGGAGAGGCAGAGAAAGAGAGGGAGACAGAGAAATAGACTCCAGGGTTTGAGCTGTCAGTGCAGAGCCCAATGTGGGGTTTGACCTCAAAAACTTAGAGATCATGACCTGAGCCAAAGTTGGATGCTTAACTGACTGAGCCACCCAGGTGCCCCTGAAGCTAGGTTCTTAAAGGGGTTGGCCAGAAAAGTCTAAAACATTACAAAGATAAAGACAATAAAGAATTTAGGGGGAAAAAAAGCAAATAAAAGCAATTAGGAAAGGAAACCAGATCAAATCAAATGAAACTAATAACCAATATAAAGTTCTGTTAAAAGTAATTTACCCCAATTCCACTTTGTATCACACTAAGATTCACATATTATAGGAACACTAAGTATATTCCTTAATGTTCAAGTGAGCCTAAGCATTCTTTCCTCTCACTGAACAACTTAGAATCAAGAATGAATTCTAATAGACTGGTCAACTTTAAAAAAAAAAAATAAACCGGTCAGTTTTAATTTTATGTACACTTTATTATTTTTAATTTCAAAAATAACTTTTTTCATTAACTTCGATTTGTGAAGAAAGTTCTTTTTTTTTAAATAAATAAAGTTTTTTGTTTTCTTTTTTAAATATTTTTATTTATTTCTAGGGGAGAGAGAGAGAGAGAGAGAGAGAGAGAGAGAGGCAGGCAGTGTGAGCAGGAAAGTGGCAGAGAGAGGGAGGGAGACACAGAATCTGAAGCAGGCTCCAGGCTCTGAGCTGGCAGTCAGCACAGAGCCCGACGCGGGGCTCGAACCCACCAACCGCGAGATCATGACCTAAGCGAAAGACGGACGCATAACCGACTAAGCCACCCAGGCGCCCCTAAAGTTTTTTTTTTAAAGTAAAAATTTCTAGTGCAGACGGCCCTGAGGCTTGGGAAACTATTTTGATACCATCTTCTGAATTTAAAACAAGTCTGTTCTCATACTAAGACCTCGAAAGTGTTACGGAAACAAAGTCGAAAGTGCTAACCTGAAAGGACAATTACTTTAAGACAATAAGCTCACCTTAGTGTTCTCTGATTTTTTAGTAAGTTTTGTAGCCCCAGGAGGCCTTCTTTCCTTTCTGACCAGTTGGAACTAGCACATCTGTTGAGGACTTCGGCCACGTCTTCCGTCTGCCTCATGTACGTAGGAATACTGCCATTTCGAGAGCTGTACGAGCGTTCTGAACAAGCACTCGACGCGTCACTGTTGGCGTCGTCATCTGAATGCATTCCATAGGATTCGTATCTTCTTCGGGCAGGTTTTTTCTGTCATACATAAAGGCTCTCATCAGCAGTAGCCAAAAGAATACACTGAACTCTCACAATTTCTACTGACCACAAAAGGACTGGTTTTTGTTTAAAAATCAGTACGAAGCATGCGTCTAATCACTGTAATAATAAAATTATTATCAATGTTGTATCAGTCGATAACTGATTTTATTTTCAATATTTAGTTTTGCTTCAGAGAACAGGTTTTAGAAGTTAGTAGAAGATGAAATATTTTTTAATGACGGGATATAGTAGAAACAGAATAAGACTACATGAAAGTTCACATATGTACAGTGAGAAGTGCTCAAATTGTGGGTTTTCCCCTTTTCTTTTTCCTTTTCATGGAAACCAAAGGACCACTAGTATATATTATAGATGAACAAAAATTACTGTAAATTTGAGTTGGTAAGAAGGGAATATTACTTTTTTTTTTAATATTACTTTTTTAAAGAATGAGAATGGGTCAGAAAAACACGTTTCCTATATGAACTTCTATTTTTTCCTGTTTATCTTCTCCTTTCTCTAGTATCCCTTTTACTTCTGCTACTGCTTCTCTTGCCACTCTTTCTTTCCCTGTACCCAACCCTCACGTCTCTTAGAGAAGTAAAATACAAAGAATGATGAGACTCTGTTTTGCTTACTACTGTTTTTAGGAGGCAAGCTCCTTGAGAGCCTGTCATGTTTTCCCCAATGTGTCTAAACTTCTATTTCAATAAATGCAAGAAAGCCTATTTAGGTTTGATTTCTTCATATGTAAAGCTTACCATTTAATATATGTAACTGCTAATTATACCTTGCATAATAAAAATGAAATGAGAGAGCAAATAGTTTGCGATTGCCTTGGAAGAATGGGAGATACATCTTTATGTAATCTGATACTTGAATTTGGGCTAATGAGCAGTGAAGACATTTCTATGAAACATGTTGATAAGCACAAGAATTTAAAACAGTTCTGGATGGCTATAAATTCTCCAAAGGCTAAAATCTTAAAAAACAAACAAACTTGAATTTAATTCAAGTTTTATAAAGACATTTCTGTCAATAAACGCCTCTTCCTGATCTATTGGCACCAGCTTAATTTAGGACGGGATAACGGGCTATGTCCTGTGTTGGGCTCCAGGACCAGTTTATTACAGACATAAGTGTCAACGGTTGCCTCATCTGTGAGGAGCAGTCAAGCTTAAAGGAGAAGAACCCCGACAGGACATTTGACACAAGCAGTATCTCCCTACTGATAATCATATGTACAGAAAAATGGATGTATTAAAGGATCTTATTACTTCCACTGGAATATTTTAGAGAAAACTGTCATCTGTTAAACTGATGAAGCAAAGGAACAAAGTTATGGTATCATAAGATGTCAGAAAACAGCAATGTCTATACCTTAGTCCGTATGTCTCCTAAGAGCTGAGCGCAGTAAATTTTTAAAGAGAAAAATTGAAAACAATGAAGAACATTTTGCTAAACAGCACAATGAAGCAGGCATAAACAATGCCCATAACCAGAAACAGTAAGGTTTTTATTATACAGATACATAAAAAGTGCTTAGTAGCAGGCTAGGCTAGATCTCCAACCTTGCCAGTACCCTTTAGTCCGAAGCTACAAGAATATTCCCATAACCACTTTTCCTAAAGACACTAAAATTTGCTTTCTATTTGGATCCTTTTATTGTTTCCAATGTTAACTTTGTTTCTATGATTTTCCCAAGGTCCAAATTAGGCTTAATAAATTTTTTCCCTAGAAATTAAGAGTTATAACTGGAATATTTATGCTATGCAAATAATGGAAGTAGACAGAAGCAGTGATTGGGACTTGCCTTTTAGCCTTGCTGGCTTAAATAATATATAATCCCCTTATATAATCCAAACGCACAGTGGTATTTTAAGTAATAGTTTAAGAATAACCCATTCAATTCATAAAATTTATGTGAGCACAATTTAACTGGTAACTCTTCCATTTAAAAAGAAACTAGGCAACCTGATTTGAGGAATACACTGATGAGGAATAGTAAATTTAAAGCACTTGACAGATCATCAGAACAAGATGTGATCAATATATCCCATGTCCAAGAGAGCATAGTTCCTACTTAGTTATATTATTTATTAAAAAATTAATCAAATGGCTGAGGTAAACGGAAAATTCTGCACATACAGACTGTTAGAGAACTACACATGTGATTACGTGTCTTGTATTACAGCTATGATCAGTAGGTATTTTTTAAAACTTTTTTTTCAAATATACAAGGCATACACTGTATTATATCAACACTGGTTAAGATGTGACATACAGTTTTAAAAGGCAGAGCGTATTTTTTTAAATTTCAAAACAAAGATGGGGACTTTTATAAAAGTTCTGTGTAAGAAACTGAGTAAATGCTTCTCCAGCATAGACAGGATTAATTTAATTTGCAAGAAGAAGTGTATACTGATTTGGGAAATTAGCAGAGGCCAATTATATTTATTGTTGCAAATGACGCTTCCTTCATAATTTTAAGTGAGAAAAACACTGGCGATAGATGCACAGTACTCTTCTGACAAACTACCATGGATGTGTAGGTGATGCTTTTAAACCTCACTATTTAATGTGTTCAGGCATAACGAACCAGGAGGGCATCTTAATTATAATTTGTCTGGAAGTTGTACTTCTCTCAGCTCAGAAACACAAGCAAGCAAGACTAAACAAAATCCTACCTCAACTGAAACAACCCCTCAGTACTCCAAACGTTAGGCGAGCCACGAAATGTATGCTTGGAGCGCGCATATCTATGTGCCCATCTGCCCTTAGTATACACCAGTGCATAAAACACCTCATCATACTAACAACATCATATTTACAAAACATTCCTGACATCCCATCAATTACTTCTGGCCCTAGCTTAAAATTCTGACCGAGTAATTAATAAGGACCAAAAACTGATTATACAATTCTGCTTTTTACATTTGCCCATATCTGGTCTTCCTAGATTTAATCCGTAAGCTTTTTCCCATGTCCTCTCCCACGCTGGTGGACTGGCTTACCCATACATCGATTTCATAATTGGAATATCTCTAATGATAAGGAAATGGAGAAGAGTACCAAGGCATCTGCCACCGCCTCCTCCACATCAGAACCTGTGTTCAGGACCCGCATGGCACTGACAGAAGACGACAGTCGGCTCGATTGGCTCATCCCATACCCTGGACCTAATTCATCAGAAGGAGGAAAAGAGCTTTGAGAGAGTCATAAATGTAACAGCATCACACTGGAAACTTTAAGATCCTTAAGGGGAGGGGAAAAAAAAAAAAAAACCAATGGGGCAAAGCATTTTAAAAGCAATTCTGTATTTTCTGGGTACATTTGGTTTTTGGTCAAATAAAATGGTAAAGGCAATTAAATTACTGACAGCGTATGGAAAATAAATTTAAAGAACAGGAGCTATGATACATTTATGACCAGAAAACAGAGGAAAGCATGGTTGGCTAAGGGCTTGTACATCTACAGCCCTTGCAATTAATCCAGCTCTATCAGTCAGGCAGATCTCCGCCATACAGGTGAGCCACGGAATAGTCCAGAACAAACCTTAAACCTCACTCCAGTAAAGATTAGGGAGCTCTATGAAGCTACACCAGTTTACAAGGGAAAAACTCTCCAATTAGCATCTCTTCTCCTTCAGCATAGGTTTTCATTCTATAACTAAGACATGTCATTTGATATTTGTTAGGCACCTACTGTGTGCCCAGCATTCTGAGGTACTTAAAGACAAGCCAGAGATGGATTCTCCCCCTCAACTACTTTCTCCACCATCATTTACAATTAAAACACTTCATCCACCATTTTGGTTTTTTTTTTTTCCAAAACATGTACAAAGATGAAGTACATAATTGAGAACACGAAACAATTCCATATTTAGAAATGACATAACTTAGATTACATATACACAAAAAGGCTATCTGCTAGTGAGAAAAATACTCAAATAAGGCTGTGGGAGGGGAAAAAGTTACTTGGGGGAAAATTTAAAAAAAAATCACAAATGACTTATTATCCAACAAATCAAATTAAAATAAAAACAAAGTGATTTAAAAACATGAATCTACAATTCAATGGAAACTGAAAAGGACAAAAATCTGAGATGGATGATAGTGAAAATGTACTCATCCTTCACCTGAGGCCCCATACACATCGGGGGCGTAGAGGGCACCAGTAGATCTGGAATGGTGTCTGGAGGCTGCAATAACAGGACCATACAAACCTCATCTATTACCACAGAAACAAGGAGTAGCGGCAGCACTATAGTCGGGCAAGGAGAGTTAGTCAACACTGGTGTTACTAGTCATTTAAGGATCAGAATTGTCACTGCCGAGGAAGGCAACTGAACATTAGCACTGCAGTATCATCCTTGACACACAAAAGATCTCACACCTAAGGGGACAGACATAAGCCCACGGGAGACAATAAAAAGCAAGTATTCAAATGGAAGGAAATGTCAAAAGTACAAGCATGAGACAAAAAAATGAACACTGTAGTTTAAAAAAAAAAAAAAACCACTATGGTAACTAGTAACCAATAATAAACCTAAATCCTTTAACCCTGAACCCACTGAGGCGGGTATTACTATTCCGTTTCATAGATGGGCAAATTAAAGCATAGAGTGAAGTTAATTAACATGATCAAGGCCACACTGCTGGTAAGTGAAGCACCTCAGTATCTTTACTCCCTCAAGGCCTTTGCTCTTAAACAGTACGTGAACCATCTTCGTGTTGTTCAAAAGATAACATACCTCACTTACATTAATCTAAATATTTTCCATAATGGTTCATTGAAGTTCTGCATTCAGTAAACAATTTAAATATCAAAGACATGTGACCGTAAGAAAAGGATACCAATAATACAATCAAAAGACCCACAAAGGTAACATGTCTCCCTATATTTATGTCATGTTTCTCTGAATCTAATTTTAGCATAGTTTGTTTCATGTCTTAAAATCTTGATTTTCATAACACCATAAAGTCAATCTTCTTCATTTTAATATTTAATGAAATAGAATACTCCTATTTAGAAAGTTACTTTTCTTCAGATATACTAATTAGAGCAGTTAAAATCCTTTTTTAAAAGAAAAGTTTGAAAGAGAAAGAGAGCAAGCAGGGGAAAGGGAGAGAAAAAGGGAGAAAGGGAGAATCTGAAGCAGGCTCTGCGCAGTCAACACAGAGCCTGACGTGGGGCCTAAACTCACGAACTGTGAGATCATGACCTCAACCAAAATCAAGAGTTGGATGCTTAACCAACTGGGCCACCCAGGTGCCCCTAAAGCACTGTATTACACGAATCACTCTTTTCTTTGCCACAGGACCTTAATGGACGCAAAAATGATCAAAAAGCTTGAGACAAAGGATTAAACAGAAAGAATGCTGTTCAAAATGTTTAATCAGACTCTGAAAAGCGATTGCTATAGTTAACGCAACATACTAATATATAGTTTTAATTCTAAAACTTTAAAAATGGTGAGAGTTGAATCAATATGAAAATGCCCAATGGATGAAAATTTGCGAAAAATGTTATGGCATCAAACATTTTCCCTGTGGCTGAAGGTAAGGGGTGAGGCACCACTCGTATTCTTATAGGAACACAAGCCTGTTTTGAAACGTGGCTCCAGAAACAAATGGAAACTAAGGGTACAAGTTTCAGAGGAGCTCAGCTTTGCTCAGCTCTGATTTACTTCTGATGCCTGAGAGCCCTCACACTGGCTTTTGTGCTACAACTGAACGCACAGCAAACTACGGGATTCACTTGCTGGATGGCGATCCTCAAGTCCGAGGTGAAAAAACAATTCACCGAATAAACACAGGAAGGACAGCAGAGCGCAGGCAGGCACCACAGACACCAGGAATGGGAAGGACAAGCTGATTTCAGAGCCAGCTACCCCTCATCCCTGTGTAGTTACAGGGCCAATCTGTTACTGTTACTATGCAGCATCCATATGTAAATAAGAGCCATCAAAACCAATTCTCCTAAAACTACAGAATTAAAAGATCTAATCTTCTTTAACCCAAATAGAATATCTCTTTAGAATCAGGAAAACAGCTTCCTTTCATAATAAAAATTTAAGTGATTTAAATTGTCAAATGGAGGCTTTGAGGTGAATCCAGAAACTTAATGGCAGGCTACCATTTCTCTTTAAAAAGAGGCCTAGGAGCAATGTTTATTTTTTTAAGTGATTAATCTCCTCTCATGTCTGACTACTGCAAAGATTTAAAAGGTACAGAAACAGATCTTGGTTTGTTCTTGCTATCTCATGTTTTCTAATAATTCTGCAGTGGAAGCATTATACAAATACAGGTGTTACCCCATTAAAAACATCTAAGATCGCTGCCAAAAAAGTACCAGAAAACTACTTCCAGGCAAGCAGTCAGAGCCTGTTTGGATGGCCGAGTGCCTACTATGTGCCGAGCACGGCTCTGAGGGATTTGTTTCCTATTTTCTCTCACTTACAGCTTCTTCAAAACATCCTAACAAGTACGTGCTCTTCATATCCTAGTTTTACCAATGGGGAAACTCAGGTAAAGAAGTTATAGAACCCAGGCTATCTGACCCTAAAATATGTTCTTAAACTACCACACACCCAACTCTTCAAGATGGCATGCATAGTTTATACAAATGTAGGGTCTATTTCACTTTTAAGCATATATGCATGAACATATACCACGTACATCCATACGTATGCATATGTGTATATACACATACATAGACAGTCTGTCTGTATACAAACTAAAAATACCTCTGGGAAAGCACTGAAAGGGAACTCTCTGGCACGTGGGACTAGAACACAAATGACAAAGGCCGAGGATGTCCCTGTCTGTGTCCCTAGCTCAGTGGGGTTTTCTAGGTCAGTACAGGACCGGCTAGTGACTTATTTGAACCAGAGTCCAGAGAAGACTTTAACCCCTAGATGTTCTACACTAACATGTCTACTGAAGGAAATAATATTTCTGCTTGGCAATGTTCTACTTAAAAGTCACAAAATCTGAACAGCACATCTCTAAGTATTAAGGTAAACTGTATTTTGTGGAATTAAAAAATGGCTTTAGGTATGTACATATAAACAAAGTACTAGTGAAAAAGGTGAAGGACCATGCAGAAATTCTAAAACATTCCAATGTAAGAAATTCTGCCTCTCCGATTATTCTCAAAAACTGTAAGTTTAAAACATCATTTACTATTTTTATAATTGAGGTAAAGATACTATTATGGGGAAGGATATAATATAATCTCTATAATCTGGAACACGGAGGCTTTACAGCAGTGACACAACACGGGCTAATGTGTGGGAAACAATTACGAAACTGTACAATACTATAAAAATGTTAATCTCGCCCATTTTAATAAGTAGTTCATATGGTATTTTGCAGCACTCTTTCTAGTAACCTAAAGTTAAATATCTAACTTGAAACGTTAATATTTCTGCTGAAAAAACCAACAGCATCTATTTTGTCAAATGAAATGGTCCATACTTCACAGGAGAGTAAAAATTTAGATATTATCTTCAAAGTTTATAGGTTTATTTCTTAAGATAAATTTTGAACTCAACATTCTGTAGTTCAGAACGGTGTGATAGTCACTTGATTATGGAGACAACCTCTTTATACAAGGTCTAACCTGCTCATTTCAACAAGTAAATGTTAAAGGGATTCCCCAAACCTACAATTTCCTTCTGACTTTTTCTTCTGTTAGGACAGAAACGAGAGGCCCAGACACGGCTGATGAAGAGAGTTAAACCCGGAGTCCGCAGAGGCTGTCTGCTGGTGACCACACGGTGTGTGTAGGGGGTGGGGGGGTGGCGGGAAATGCACCGATGCCTGTCCACATGCTTACCGAGGGGCTGGAAAGAACGAACAGGACTGGTGTCCCGGCTGCTCTCCCGACTGGCTTCCCGGCTGCACCCTTGACTCACACTTGGTCGAGGAATGCGACTGCTTCGGGCTGGTACAGACAGACAGCCGCACAGAAAGGGAGGGAACAAAAGACAGAATTTGCATTTTTGATACGTTAGTTATATTTTTCTTTCTCAAAAACTGATCAGTAACTTAAGTCTTATGAAAGCTGAGAAGAGATCACTCTTGATAAGGCATTACCAGGACTGCAGGTAAATCTGAATACAGCCCTCCAGTTTGTATCAGAAGGGTAGAATAGTATTTTGCAAATATAAATAGGCTGCAAATCAAAAGGTTTAAACTCTACTTTAAAATTATACTTCCAAGGTAAGATACCTAAATCAATTTACAACCTGTATTTAAATTGTCCTTAAATTCTAAGTTGTTTTCTTCTAGCTTCTAAGCACCCATCTGAAGTCTTCGAAGCTACCCAACCCTGCAATACAAAAGAAGAGGTCCCCCGTCTCACAAAGTGGGCCTTACCCACGGACAGCCTAGAGGGACTCGCCTCTCTGCTACAGCCCTGGCTCCGTGGTATCTTGCTTCTCTTCGGCGCCGAGGCGGAATTGACCAAGACTCTCTGAACGCCAGAGCTCACAGTGGAGAGGGCTGTCGTGGTCAGAACTCTTCCCGGAGACCCAGACCGGCTGCCAGCTGGACACCAAACACACATGCAAATGTTAAGATGTGAATTCTAAGAGAGCTTGCTGAAAGGACAAAAATTCAAGAAGTACATCTGAGAAAACTGGGATAGTATGGCAAGTTCTATGTTCAAAGGAAACGGGCTGAGGAAGATATGTGCATAGAATCGTAACCTGGAAAAAAATAAAAAAGGTACACTAGGACTGGGGGGTAAATCATATAAAATATACGGTCAGTTTTGGGGGGTGTAAGATGCTATGTTTAATAAGGGCGACATAATAATAGTCTGTTTCAGAACACAAATAGTGTAGAGGATTTCCAAAAAAATAACTTATCTGATGGTACGTTTCATACCAGCTATATATTAAAGCTATATATTTACAAGGAACAAAACTAATCATTACATTATTACTATTTTTTGTGAAAATAAAAATTTGCTTCCTGTTAAAACGGTTGGTCTCTCTGAGATGCTCTGAATGGGTATAACAAAATTATCTTGCTACTATGTATACCTTTAATTTTTACAAAATTGAATTTTGAGGGTTTATAATATTGGGCTAGATGAAACAGAAACTTGTTTTTTGCCTTCAAACAGTAACGGGGACTTGGGTGGCCACATCTAGGATGGAGTACTTCTACTCAGCAGAAGTACTGAGAGGAGACGAGAACTACACGCAAATGTCAGAGAAGGCAGATGCTCTCCCAACTAGTGATTTTCAGTCTTGGAAGGCAGAAGACATGTGGTCAGGGGAAAAGAGGGAGCTGGACAAAATCTCAGAGACTGGAGCAAGGAGTAAGAAAAAGCTAACATGGTTTTCAACTAGAATTGCATGGGTTAACGTTTAAGGAGGTGGGCTCCCGTTCAATCAGAACATTTTACGTCTGTACTGAATGGGAAAACAAGCTCGGTAAACTCCAAGATGGAATTTAACTCTATGTTCTGAATGGTAGCATTACAGAAAAGTTGAACTTGCACTTAAAGAAATGAGAGCAACTTTCCTCCTATGTTGGGCATCACCTCTCTTCACCACCAGGCAGTCACTGCTCACCCTGTACAACCTTACTTCATTTCCACAGAGCAATAACTAAAGACTCAAATGCCAGTGTGGTCAAGCAGGAGGTGTTTATGAGGAAGGAGCACTGAGCATAAGGTAGGGAGTGGTGACTTTTCAGTCCCAGCCAGTTCTGTTTTGTGGGAATACTGGCCAGGATTTAGGGTTTGTAAAAACAAAAAACCAAAACAAAACAAAAAATTAAAACTCTGAAACTTCCTCATTCTATCATGTTGTGTCGCCCAAATAATAGATGAATGGAGGCGGGCTGCATATCGTCCTGGGGCTGCTGACCTGTGGCCTCCACCGTAGTTTTCTCGGCATGGTCTTGCCGAATACAATTTAAATTCATGTTTAATTCATAAACTTTACCAGCACACAAAGTTAAAATTACCTTCCACTGGTTACAGCGATACTGTATAAAAGCAGTGTTTCCAAAGAAATTAATAATTTATTTGAATAGAAGGAATCTAAGTTATTACAGGGAAATTATTCAACTCTACTTTAAAACAATGGCTCGTTTGAATTATTTCTTGGTGCTTCAGGTGAAGTATCTTCAAATCGGGTTTTTGTCAGTTATAACCTTAAGGATACCCACAAGGCACCTGTTTTCTCCATGCAGTATCTAAACTAAACATACACACTGAAACATCCAAACACCCAACATGCCACAAACTCACAATGCAAGATAAGCCAATGGGACATTTTATGGGAACACTTGCAACAATATGAAAGGTATCAATAATGAACTGAATGAACACATACAATATGGTATTCTGTTAAAACTAATATAAATTTAAAGGGTGAAGGTGTCGGTAGACCGGAGAACTTCTTGAAATGTGGGTCTATTCAGCAGAGAGGAAACATGCAGTGCTGCCGCACAGTAACCACTCCACCTGGTCTGGATTACGCAAGCTCATTCTCTACTTAAGTTCATTCATACCCTCTCCTAGAAAAGAGAATTGGCAGTTTGTTTTGCTTTTGTCATTGGCCTCTCTTCTCCACTAAATCCAAACCCCAGCCAACAGTGTGATAATTCCAATGCCTATGACTCATTTTGGAGTTATCTATACTTAGAGGAAAATACCAAGGCTCTTTTCCCCAGCCAAGAACTACCAAGGCTAATGCTTCTGCTAAGAAAACCACTGAGCTGATGAAAAAGAGCCTGGTGAGCATGTGAGCAGCACGCTACTAGAAAATACCCTCATCTACAAAACCTGGAAGTAGAAGCATGTCTCTCATGCTACCTGAAATTTTCAAACTACCATTTTATACTTTTTACAAGGTATTTTCAAGGCATTACTAAGGCTCCTTTGCTTCATGTCAAAACCTGTGGGATCCACTTGGAAATTTTCCACAATTCAAGGTTTGGGTAATAAAGACAAGCCAAAGATAGCTGGCAATTTTTGCCCCAATGTGGTTACACCACAGTGGACTATTATGCTGAGAATTTCTGCTGAATAGACCCATTCTCGATAATGAAAATCGGTGGTCAAACAACAGACGCACACAAAGTCTACAGGTTCTTACCACCAATGGCATTAGCAGACTGTGACCCTGAACAAGTGTAAAGGCAGAATTAGGGCAAGGGTTATCATCCAGGAAGAGGCAAGGGGCAGATTTAAAATGAATGGCAGGTGACTAAGCTGTAGTCAGTTCTTAGAAAATAAAAAAGCCCTAAAGCATAAAAAGCAAACTTCAAAAGAAAACTCCTTAAGCCACAGATGTCTGTAACAAAAGCAGTGCATTTAGTAGCTTCTGCAGCTGAAATCAGACACTCATGTACAAAGCAGATGAAGTGAAGGTGCAAAGTAAAATGTAAATTATTCAGCTTTTCTTCTGCGAATAGCCTCTAATCTCAATAATAATTAAATGTTTAACTTTTTATCATTTAAACATTTAATTTAAAACTAAAGTTAAAAAGAATTACAACATCTTCTGGCTGAAGAAAGCTTGCACAAAAAAGCTACACTTTTTTCTTTCAGATGCACAGAAAATAAAAATGAAAACAAACAGCAGGGGCTTGGGGTGAGGAGACGGAGCTTCTGACAGGCTGTGTAGCCATTTGTACACAACCAGTCACTACCGACAAGAACCAAAGACACCATCCTTACGTAAATAAAAACCTGGAAATCTCTCCATTGGGTCTGCTTTTATTTATTTTGATTAGTCATCAGAACACACCTGCTCTGACCCAAGGTTGTTTTTTTTTCCCCCTCTAAATGGTAATATAAAAATTTGGAAAGACCCGGCAAACTCTAATGATTTACTTCATGACAAAGTGAAGATGGAGGTCACAGCAGTATTTCTGTGCAAACAACGTTGTAAAGAAACTTGCGTCAAATCACACAGGGCCACAATTTCTCTTTTCAAAAGAATCTAGAATGGAGTATACAGTCATTGAGACAAATAAGCAAGCAGGAAAACAAAAACCTCTCCAATATGATTTAAAACCCAAGTGATTTTACAGTGAGAAAGTCTTCGATCTTAAAATCCTACCAGGTCTAAAAAGCCTATCGTTATGTTCTCTTACTTCAGGAGAGGATTTTAAGTATTGTAGACTGGGTTTCAAAGTGAAAAACCAAGTGTATAATAATTATTCTATATCTTACTGAAGTGATCAGTAATTACAATTGACCTTTAAGAGGGAGGTCCTTAACATATTAGAAAACCATACACAAAGCACTTTGAATCTTTGCTCCACAAGTTCAATCTTGGTATTACTTTAGAAAAGAACTAAACAGCTTACATCAAATTAAATTTTATCCTTAAGATACTAAAGACAGTTGGCTATCTTTATTCTTTTTTATGCTTTAAATTTCCTAACATCTTTATTTCTTTGTTTCCTAAAGGTCAGAAAAATAACAAGGTACAAAAGTACACAACAGGAGTTTAAAATCCAGTTGACATTAGGTGAATAGTGACATGGAGGGCAATTTTATCAGCTGAAATATATAGTGCGTATTCTGGGCCCAGGTATGGTCTTCAAGGAGATTAAATCCACTATACCATTTAATCACTGCAATCCTCTGAGTGATAAAATCCATCTTCTTCATTTTATAGAGAAATATATGGAAACAGAGCAAGTTTAAATAACCTGGAAGAGCCAGGATTCAAACATGGGCAATATGGCTTGAGAGTTCATGACCGAAGTCGGACACTTCTCAGACTTTACAAATCACTTGGTGATCTGGTTAAAAGCCTGAACCCAGGAGATGTGCGGTGGCATATGGGGCTATGGCTTTCTAACTCACTCCCAGACGCTGACGCTACACGTGGAGGTATGAAGCCCTGAGCTGCTACGCTACAACTGGTAAAGATCGAGGTACTTAAAAAATCACTCTCGGGGCTCCAGGCTGGCTCAGTCCGTTAAGCATCTGACTCTTGGTTTCGGCTTAGGTCATGATCTCAGGGCTTTGTGGGTTCAAGCCCCAAATCACGCTCTGTGCTGACAACTTGGAGCCTGCTTGGGATTTTGCCTTTCCCTTTCTCTCTGGTCCCCCACTCATGCTGTTTCTGTCTCTCAAAATAAATAAATAAACTTAAAAAAAATTACTCTCAAAATCCAGAAAAAAAAATACAGAAGATCAGGGAAGAATGTGGTCTGATTTATTCCTAATTTGGCTGGGAGAAGAGCCCTTACCCAGAGGGCATTTGCCATTTTTCCCATTTATAAATAATCCTCAAATTGCAATCCAATTTTACCAAACATTTCCTCATTTTTAGGACTCTTGTTGAATGTTCCCATCATTTCTCTGCCTGGATTTTTTGACTCTGGAAAGAGGAGGAAAGGAGAACCTGCTGGTAGGACCTTTGTAATCACCGCCTGGCCCCCTCCACCACAGCTCTTTCCCTGGATTCCAGGATTTGGGAATCAAAAAAGAAAACAGACAAATAGAGCATCTGTATCTTGATAAATTGCCTAAACCACCGTGGAAGATAGTTAAAGATATTTCTTTTCAAAATGGCCAGCTACATATAATAACCCCCAAATTATTCCCCTGGAAAAAAATTTCTGTTTTTAGAGCTAAGTGTGAATGAAAATCTCTTGATAAAGAAAGAATAGGAACAAACTCTTTTAAATTAATAATGCCATAAATGTACTCAGGAACATGTAGAAGAGATGAATCATTCATTTTTACCTAGACCTCAAAATTGTGCTTTTTAATAATTGTGCTTGTGAGGAACTCAGCTTCCAATGAAATAGGAAGACTATAGATCTCACATTTAACAAGGAATATAACAGAACTGGACGTTTCAATTTATGTGTCCTCACTAGGAGGCAGTATACACCTGCTCAAAATGCCGACTGTGGTCTACGAGATTTTGGGGAGAGTTTGAAGACACACGCATCAGTCCTTGAACAGCATGAGCTAGATGCAACCAGATTAGACAGTGGCCTATGGCGATTCTTTTGCCTCTAAAAAGCACAATTTTCTACATTTGCAAGTTTGTGTAGACCGTGAAAACCTTAATGCTAAGAGTTTTGTGCTATTTAAAATATCTCCATGCAAAAGTGTGTACAGCAGATGAGGTACTTTCTTTCTAAGTGGCGGATATCAATGATGCAATCCTAGGAACACACCAGAGACAAGACAACACCCACTGAAAAAAATTCCAAAACATGCACAACAACTGATCCAAAACATTGAAAAAAAAAATACCTTCATTTTTGTCAGGTGATGATGAACCTAAAGTACAGAACGAGAACTCAGTATGTGGCTTGTCTTTTTGGAAGTCAGCTTTGTCTTTATCCACTGGTCAATCTCCTACTACGGTCATATACAAGCAACACATTCCCTTGCGGCAGCACACACCCAGGAGAATTCAGAGGCAATACGTACGCTGAGACTGAGACACCATCTTTGTTCGGCTTCTCCCTCGAGAATCTGTCTTGGCATTTCCCATGCCCGCAAGCGGCGCCGAAAGCTTTGCTCTCACCCGGCCTGGGGAATGAAATTATTTATGTAAATAAAGATGTTTTGTAATAATATGTAGTAATGAGGAAAAAAAACACCTCACTATAATTTTCTGATTGGGTGTGTTTTTCAAGTATTGTTAAATTCTGAAATAATGTAACCATCACTGACAGGTTATATTTCCCTTAAATTTTTTAAAATACATACTCCTTTTTATGCACTGCACCATAAGCTAACTCTTGTTCAAGGGTACAAATAAGGTCAGACTAAACGATTTCCTTTCTTAGTTTGCTAGTCTTAGTCCAGGAGAGTGACAATTCAGGTATTCTCCACAGGCGTGCCACTTGGTCCCTAACTGGCAGTTCCAATTCTGAAATTTCAACTTCTATGAAATTTAGTTTATTCTGAAATACAGACTAAATAAGAAGCCTATTCTTAGGACCAACAACCCAACAATTCTTTTGACTGAAAATACGGTTCTAAAAGGGATTTGCAAGAAGAGATTAAGTAAAATATTTAATATTTCTATCCTGTGCTAAACATCAGATTACTACAGAGAGATACATAGAGATATTTTCTTCCCCCAGCCAATTTCATTTATAAAATGATCTGAGGAAACACCTATCACATGAGAGCTGGCACTTTCCTGAGTGTTTCTCTGCCCACCTCCTGGTGGCACTCCCTGTTCCTCTAGCACTGCCTCAACCCCAGCAAAAAACCAAGCCACAAACATCTATTTCTAGAGCTCTTGAACCAAAGGAGATCACATTTCTCAAAGTACCTAAGTGTCATTAGTAAAAACAAAAACATATTACTAGTAGGTACTTTGGTGTTCTCAGTCTCCACCACAATCAAATCTGAACCGATACCAAAAACAATCATAAAGAAGGGCTCACAATCCTTTGAAGTTAAAAGGTACAATTTGTAGGGCACTCACTATACTAGCTAGCCTGGTACGGTCATGTTAAGTAGAAAAAAAAAATAAATGAAGGAAAATGACAAAATTAAGACCTGAGTGAGGGAAGATAAGAGAGTGATTAAAAGCCAGGAATAAACACAAGCAAAGCCAGAAGTCTAGGTGCTGAGTTCTAGCATTCTCTCAATTCTTCAAGGCCCTTAATAAGCCTAGACCTTCCACCCTTTAACAGAGTCTGTTTAAAGTAGAATACAATGTTCTCCCGACTAAGAAGTAAAACAGAAAGACAAAATTATAATTCTTGAAATGGAGAATTTATCCAAAATAACAAGGAAATCAGAATAAGTATTTCTGATACTATCATTCTAAATTACAATGCTAAAGTGCCAGAAACCATTTTTAGAGAGTCCTCTCATTTAAAATATGAAAATATTTCAAATACATCAGAGTAACTATGAGACCAAAAAATGTTAAATATACTTGGTTTTGTATCACAAGAAAAGGTTATCCATGTAAAACTTAGGAGAAGAAAGGTGTGTTTCAAAATCAGAGGTTTACAAGACAGCCTTCAGGCAGTATAAATTGAAAAACTGATTTTTTTCCTTTCTACAAATTCAAAAGCAATAAACAATTGTTTTCTTAAAGTAAAATAAAGTGATGTATCTAAGTTTTTGTAAGCCTAGCTTCAAATCATATGTGCAACTTTCCACTGATTGTAAATCAAAGACACACTTAAAAGGGGACTGAATAAATGCACTTAGCCCCTCATGAGAAAGCAATGGAGCATGCCCCCCCCAAGTATAAGTAAATTTGCATAAATTAAAAAACAAAAACACAAAATTAAAAACATTAGTGATGCTGCTGAAAAAAAAGAAACTATTTATTAACTTTATACTAGATATTACTAAACATTTGTTAAGCAATTATGTTTTTTCCAGCATGAGATGATCCAAGATACAAAGCACAACTCAAGATGAAGAAGTAAAGAAAAAATTCACATCTGTAACTAGCACAACCAAACATAAAATGGAGAAGTTATTATGGCCATCGAATGATACACTTTTGCAAATTAGCCTATTTTAGTTTGTGATATTTAATTCCTACTAATGAAAATATTAATGTAGAGGTATTGGTGTTACTAACAAAATGTTTGATTCTTACCATCTTCAGATGTTGCTCCTAAATAAGAGAAATAAAACAATAACATTTCAACAAATTCTGCCAGTGCTGATGTTTAAGATCTACACGTACCTCCCACCCCAGGCTAAAATGAAAGAGTGAAAAAAAATAGCATCTAGTCTGACAGCCTTAAATTAAAACGTTCAGTTTGAGAGAAAACAAAATTTGAGGTCACGTAGTGGCATAGCACAAGAGAAGGGTGAAACCAGACACATGAGAACGGCCAAACCCTCCAGACACTTACACCTGCTACACTTCATACTCAAAATTTGAAATGGTGAAGAAAATTATAGAAATTAGTCACTTAAGAAAGATGCAGTCCTGTCACTGCTTTCTTTGAAATGAAGATTTTTATAGAATAAAAATACGTTCTGTGCATTTTCTAAAAGCTGTCCATAAAAGAACGAGAACAACAGATGAACATGAGAGCCAAATCCACAGCTCAGGCCTCAGTATCCCACTGTTTTCATCAGAGCATTACGATGCTTATCAGTCCACCAGCTCTTTACCCATTTATATACACTCCCTAGGATGAAAAGGAAAAGTAGCAAAAATGAACAAGTAAAAATATCATAACTCAATACTCCTAAAGGGCAGTAATCAATATAACTCTGTACGTGTATATACAGATTTTTTAAACATAGGCTTGAATATCACTGAGAATAACAATAACACATCATGTGACACAGAGTCGTCTTCAAGCAGGTTTACGTTTCTGACCCAAACGAGAAAATATTTTAATCTGGAAGGTGAGAATAATGTAAGCACGCACAATTTCAGTGTGAGAAATTGTGTACTGAAGGGTTTAAAATACAGAAACTATCTCTTGGTGGGCTTGCATTTCATTAATTTTAATTTATGAAATACTTTAAATATAGAGAGGAGCACAGAGACCGTGTAAGTAACGATCATGTACCCAACCCGCGATTAAATAAATCTTGCATTTCATTGGAATGGAAGTTAAATCAATTTGAGTTTATGTAGTAATTGACAGAAAACCATAGTTTTCCATTTTTCCTCAATCTAACACTAAGATTTACAGATTCAGTATCTTCTTAATGTTCTTAAAAGCTCAAATTCCTAGACAACATTATGATATCTGACGAAGCAAAGGGGAAATGTGGATAATATGCTGTGTAGTATCATACAAAAATACCAAACAGATAAAAAATACCATGCTGAACCAAGCAACTATAGATAAACTATATTCACTTGAATACTGAAATTAAAAAGGCGAAACTTATAAAGAAAGTTGAGTTCTGGTTAAATGTTAAAAGTCACTCTTAAAAAGACAGCATCTGTGACTTGCATTTTGTTTTCACACATAGCCGTATGAGCCTGTAAATACATCATTTATCTCTCTGTATCAGAGTCAAGAAACTACAGACTTGAATCAAATGACTTAGGGGATTCCTTTCCATTTTTCTGAATCTGACTCTATTTCAGAGAAAGACTTAGGAAATCAAGAATAGCTCTATGAGCTAAGTTAAAAACATTTAAGGTAACTGATTTCACTTACAACAAAAAATAACCTAGTACTTGAGTAGACTGCGAAACCCAAAAATGAATATGCCTAACCCCAAATTCAGAGAATTATGTAGCCATCTTTATATCATAACTGCTGCTAAATAAACAGACTATTTTCAGAAATTAAGAGAATGAAGATATTATATAGAATCCAAGGGCCAAAAAATCTTTAGTAGAATTAGAAAAGGAAGTTCTTACCATCCATCTTGTCAGAAGTATCCTCTTTGATGAAAGGGCAAGCAAAGAACAGAGGGAAACTTAGCATATTAGAAAACAGTAAGTTTACTATCCCTAGAAACATTATTTTTAAAACAATTCATAGCACAGGCATATACACAGACGTGTGTGTGTGTGTGTGTGTGTGTGTGTGTTTCAAATAAAACATACTAGGAGATTTAAATAAGATGAGATTCCCATGTGAGGTAAAGAAAAAAAAAAACAATCGGTAATGAATTTAATCTTCATTGGCCTAAAGAGAAGTTAGTGAGGCTTATTTCCTAACCTGAGGCCCTTAACATCATCAGGCAAACCTGCTTTGGTCTTCTGAGTTTCTTGAAATCAAACACTCATGGTATCCCTGTTCCCAAAGGATTGAGCACTTAAGTGGAAGAAAAAACCCAGTGGCAACTGTGTTAAGGAATGTACTGCTTAACATTGGAAGATTATAGTAAGAACAGTCTCTAATCTCAAGCACAGATCTCTCTCCTGAGTTCCGTACCAGAGTATCTCAATGCCACTGAATATCCTGTCAATATACCACTACGGCTTCTCAACACCTCCAGTCTGATGCCTCACTGGGACTTTAAATTCTAAACGCATAAAACACAACAAGCTTTTAACTGCTCATCCTTTAGCAATCTACCACTAGACTGACAGATTCTTGAGTACAGAAGCATGTATTTCTGGATTTTTTAAAAAAATTTTTTAATAGTTTATTTTTGAAAGAGAGAGAGACAAAGCATGAGCCGGGTAGGGGCAGAGAGAGAGGGAGACACAGAATCTGAAACAGGCTCCAGGCTCTGAGCTGCAAGCACAGAACCCGACGCAGGGCTCAAACCCACAAACCGTGAGATCATGACCTGAAGTCAGACGCTTAACTGACTGGGCCACCCAGGCGCCCCTATTTCTGGATCTCTTGTACCAAGTTGGGTGCCTGGCAAAACCCAAGTGCTTATTAAGCGTTTGCTTGAAAAACAATGGAACACTTCCTCTGATCCAAAAATGTTCAGTCATGACAAGCAAGGCTCAAAGCAGAAGAAAACAGAGTATACAGTCACATGTGTATACGAAAGCCGGTGGTGATGGTGAATGGGGAGAGGAGGAAGGGAAAAGGAGAGAGGCAGATGGGGGGTGGGAGGAAGGAGGGAGAGGTGGAGGAAGAGGAGGAGAGAAAGGAAGGAAGGAAGGAAAGAATAGAGAAATAAAAAAGAGAGAGAGAGAGGGGAAGGAGAAAATCCATTATCCCTGGAAAGAGCCACAGGAAAGTAGCTCACTGTCTCTGAGTATAAACCTGAGCCAGATAAAGAGGACAGAGGGACACGTTTCCCTTCTGTAATAAAGTAAATGTGCAATTCAAACCTCAAAGAACCACGATAAACCAAGTCAACCTCACAGCACTATTACAGACTTTCTTATGGAAAAAAAAAGTTGTTACAAATTGCCTTCCTAGTTGATATTAAAATATTTCAAATACTGTATTTTTTCCTAATAAAAATAATAGATATTAAATATCACATTTTTAAGACTCCAGATAAATAGGTTTTATATTTGTTCTCCAGTGTTTTCCCCACTTAAAAAGGTAAGATATAATTCCTGTACCATAAAATTCACCTTTTTATAGTATACAATTCAGTATTTTTAGTGTATTAACAAGGTGCACTACCCTCATCACTAATTCGCTAAAGTTTTCATCACCCTAAAGGAAATCTTGCACCTATTAGGAATCACTCCCAAATACCCATGCCTCTCAGCCTCTGGCAACTACTAATTTACTTTCTAATTCCGAGGGTTCACATATTCTAGACATTTCACATAAATGGAACCAAAGAGAAAATGTCTGTGTCTGATTTCATAAGGCTTTCAAGATTCACCCATCCTGAAGCTTGTAGGAGTACTTCTAGGTAAAGTAGTCCTTTTTATGGCTAAATACCATTCCATTCCACTGTATGGACACATCTATTTCACAATTGACCTGTTGATGGACATTTGGGTTGTTTCCATGGCTACTATGTTGCCACGAACATTCATGTATATTTTTATGAGAACATAATTTCGTATTACCTTGGGTATACAGCAAGGAGTGGGATGGCTAAGTCACACCGAAACTGTTTCACGTCTTAAGAAACTCCCAAACCGTTGTCATGGCAACCCCACAGTTTTTACGCTCTAACCGGCACTGCCCAAGGGTTCTAATTGCTCCACATCCTCACCAGCATTTGTTACTGTCCATCTTTTTGGTAACAGCTATCCTCATGGACATGAAGTGACATCTTACTGGGCTTCTGATTTGTAGTTTCCTAATGACTAATGATGGTGGGCATCTTATCATGCACTTACTGGCGGTTTGCATATTGTCTTTAGAGAAATGTCTATTCAGATCTTTTGCCCGCTTTTAAATGGAATTCTTTTTGTTACTGAGCTATAAGAGTTCTTCATGTAATGGGGATAGAAATCCCTAATATCAGCTGTGTGGCTTGCAAATGTTTTCTTGTAAGAGTTCTTCATATAATTGGGATAGAAGTCCCTAATATCAGATATGCAATTTGTAAATGTTCACCCTCATTCTCTATGCTGTCCTTTCACTTTCTTGATGGGGCCCTTTGAAGCACAAAAGTTTTAAATTTTGATGAAGCCCAATTTATCTATCCTTCCTTAGGTTGCTTGTGTGTCTGGGGTAGTTTGTGAGAAAACATTACTTAATCCAAAGTTACAAAAATTTACACGTATGTTTTCATCCAAGAGTTTCATAGTTTTAGCTCTTACATTTGGGTCTTTGATCCATTCTGAGTTAACTTTCTGGATATGGTGTGAGGTAGGGATCCAAGTTCATTCCTTGGCAAGTGGCTATCCAGTTGTTTCAGCACCATTTGTAGAAAAGAATTCTTTCCCCACTGAATGGTCTTGGCATCCTTGTGAAAAAAATCAACTGATCATAAATATACTGGTTTATTTCTGGCCCCTCAACTCCATTACACTGGTCTATGTGTGTATCCTTATGCCAGTACTATGGAGGCCTGATTACTTTAGTCTTTAAGTTTTGAAACTGCGAAGTGGGAGTCCACCAACTTTTTCAAGGTTGTTCTCAAAACTGTTTCATCTATTTTGATCCCTGGCTTATCATATGGATTTTAGGATCTGCTTATTTCTACCGAAAGGCACCTGGACTTTTGACAGGGGTTCTATGGAGTCTGTAGGTGAATTTGCTATCTTAACAATATTAAGTCTTTAGAGAACCTGGGGGTATTCCCACCAATTTACATCTTCTTTAATTTTTTTAAATCATAGGTTATAGTTTTCAGTCAACAGGTGTGAAAATAAATATATATATAAAACGTTGCCCTTGGTTCTCTCCCTCCTGGTTCCTGAGACAGAGATTCTAAGAACCTTACAATTTCCTAAATTGTAAGAACACTGGGGGATCTCTTGTTCTAATATTTGGTTTTTGACCCTGGTGCCTGGCAGATACCTTGACATAAGACCCCTGTAATTTCCTGGGTGATGGAAATGTTTTTTGTTCAATTGAGGTGATTCCTGGTAGGTGAGCTCCTGGAGAGCTTCAGAATGGAGTCTGGTCACCAGAAAGACGAAGCCATTATTTGAGGTTTGAAGGTTTTTAGCCCCACTCTCCCTCTTCTGGGAAGGGGAGAAAAGCTAAGACTGAGTTAATGAACGATCATCCTACGTGATGAAGCCTCTCTAAAAACCCCCGAAGTAGAAGGTTCAGACACTTTCTGGGTTGGTGAATGTACCAGGAGGGTGGCACACTGTAACTCCGTGGGGACAGAAGCTCTTGGGCTAAGGACCCTTCTGGACCTGGCCCCATGTATTTCTTCATCTGGCTGCCCATCCACATCCTTTACAAGTCCTTTGTAACAAACCAGTAATGTAGTAAGTAGATGTCTTCCTTGAGTTTTGTGAGTCAGGCTTGCAAATTAATTGAACCTGAGGAGGTTACGGATTCTCTGCTTTATAGCTGGTTTGGTCAGAAGCAGGGGTGACAACCTGCATTTGCCAGTGATGTCTTAAGTGTTGGGGTGGGGCAGATGGGGCAATCCTATGGGACTGAGCCCTCAGCCTGTGAGGTTTGTGCTTATTATAGTTAGTGTCAGAACTGAACTGAAATGTAGGATACCCAGCTGGCGTAGGAGAGCTCTTTGGTGTGGAAAACCCATACATCTGGTGTCGGCAGTATTATGAATGTGAATGTTAAGAAGAAACACAGGAGAGGTTTTTTCTAGAGAAGTCTTACATTTCTTTTGTTATATTAATTCTTAAGTATTTTATTCTTTAATGCTACGGTAATTGATATTATTTCAAACTGTTCATTGCTAGCATTTAGAAATACAACTGATTTTTGTACATTGGCCTTTTATTCTGCAACCTCACTGAACTAATTTTTAACCTCTCATGGGTTTTTTTTTTGTGGGTTCCTTAAGGTTTTCTCTATATAAGATCATGTTTTCTGCAAATACAGACAGTTTTACTTTCCTTCCAATCTGCATACATCTTATTTCTTTTTTTTGCCTTAATGACCTGGAGCCCCCACGGTAATGTTGTAGGAAGGGCAGGTGGGCATCCTCATCTCGCTGCTGATCTCGAGAGAAAGTACCCAGTCTTTCACATTAAGTATGGTGTTGGCTGTGGATTTTTCATCGATATTCTGTATTAGGTTCACTAATTTCCTTTCTATTCCTAGGTTGTTCATTATTTTTCTCATAAAAAGGTGTTGGTTTCTGTCAAATGTCTTTTCTGCATCTACTGAAACAATCATGGCTTTTGTCCTTTATTCTATTAATGTAGTGTATTTAGAGGATTCATTTTCATATACTTCAGTATATGCACTCCTAACAAGGTAATGTTTCTAATACAGAAAAGTTTTATGAAAATTAAAAGCACCAAACGACCCACTTGACATCTTTTGTAACATCTCTGTCCAGCCCATGTGTATTTATCTATGTATAATTTTATAAAATGATGGAATTATCACACTGGTACTATTCATTTGATCTTTGTTGAAAATATCGCTTGTGGGGCATGTGGGTGGCTCAGTCTGTTGAGCATCCGACTTTGGCTCAGGTCATGATCTCACAGTATGTGGGTTCGAGCTCCGTGTTGGTCTCTGTGCTGACAGCTCAGAGCCTGGAGCCTGCTTTGGATTCTGTGTCTCCCTCTCTCTCTGCCCCTCTCGCACTCACTCTCTGTCTCTATCTGTCTCAAAATAAAGACATAAAAAATTTTTTTAAATTATCTATAAACACAGGATTACTGGATCAAAATTCTCAACATTTTAAAAAAGCTTCACAAGGTCAATAATATGGTAATAACATTGGATGGTGACTGGACTTCTTGTGGTGGCCGCTGAGTAATGTATGGAATCGTTAAATCAATACAATGTACACCTGAAACTAGAACAATGTATGTCAATTACATTTCAATAACAAAAAAGGAATTGAAAAGCTTTCTAAATTGCCACGTAGAAAAAGTATTCTATGTTTAATTCACATCAGCACTTTTTTTTTTTTTTTTTTTTTCTAGAGAGAGAGAGAGAGAGCGTGAGCAGGGGAGGGTCAGAGAGAGAGGGAGTCACAGACTGAAACAGGCTCCAGGCTCAGAGCTGGCAGTCAGCACAGAGCCCGAAGCGGGGCTCGAACCCACGAACCGCGAGATCATGACCTAAGCGAAAGTCGGACGCTTAACTGACTAAGCCACCCAGGCGCCCCACATCAGCACTTTTTTTTAAATGTTTTATTTATTTCTGAGAGAGAGAGAGAGACAGCGTGAGCAGGGGAGGTTCAGAGAGAGAGGAAGACACAGAATCTGAAGCAGGCTCCAGGCTCTGAGCTGTCAGCACAGAGCCCGACGCGGGGCTCGAGCCCATGAACCGTGAGATCATGACCTGAGCCGAAGTCAGACGCTTAACCGACTGAGCCACCCAGGAGCCCCACACATCAGCACTTTACAACCACATTCTTTATCAGCAGTAGGCACTAATCTTAACTTTCTCACCACACTTAAAGCTCTTTCCATTTGCATTTGTTTGATTCCAGCTAAGGTTCAACATGTGTTCTGGTGTGTGTGTGGGGGGGGGGGGCAATTCTGATATATGTTTTACTTGATATGTGTACAATATTTTTCTATAAAAATAAGGTCATCTATTTCTCACAGACTTGTATAACTTGTGGACACTTTAGCTTCTTTTGTAGTATGTGATGAAACTTTTTCCCCTTTCCATTTTCAGCCACTTGATTTTATACTTTTACACTTAAGATTTAAATCAGAGGGACTTTTCCCCCATGGGATTTGGCTTTTATCCTTAGAAATTCCTTCCCCAACCTGAGATGAGATGAACATTAACTACTTCGGTTTCATCAAGTTGCTTTTCAACTTTTTAGTCATTTGGAATAAATTTTTATATGGTGTGAAAAATGTCTCTAACCTAATTTTACCCCAAACTGTAAACCATGTGTCTTAACCCTATTTACTGAATAACTTATCCCTTCGTCCCTGACTCTGGCTGGGCCAACTGCATCGTGTACTACAACTCACCCTGGTATCTCTGCACTTCCTACCGTGTTCCATGACCTGCGGGCCTAGTGCTCTACCAGTACTACCCACCAGGAAGACAGACGAAGCACACAAGTAGCGATAAGCCATATGAATAACCAGCCTCAAACATTTATCAGCTGATAAAACACAGAGGTGCCTGGCTGGCTCAGCTGGAAAAACACACAGCTCTCAATCTTGGGGTCACGAGTTTGAGCCCCAGGCTGGGTGTAAAGATTACTTAAATAAACTAAAAAAAGTAAAGTTGATAAACATAACAAACAGACTCCAAAAGGCTTCGGGAGTACCTATGTCAGCTCTGATTACAATAAAGATTCGCATTCTCCCCAGACCCCCAGCAGGCTGTCACGTGGTACGGACACAGAAGCCAGTCTTGGGGCCAGTGCCCTCCCCAACCCCCTAAGGAGGCAGTGGCTGGGGGCGGCAGCCGTGCACACCTGCGAACATTCTGCAGGCAAACGATGGAAGCGAGAAGTGTGCCTCTGATGCAGGTGATTAGGAGGCCGACAAAGGGAGCAGCAGAAACAAGGCAGCTTAGATACCGTAGAACTATGCCCTGAGTACAGAGTCACGTTAGAAGATACGGGCTGTCCTTAACTAGCGAGAACGAAAAAGAAGTGATTGCAGGATCGCTGTCATCACGCCTTCGCCGAGGCCAGGGAGGAGACGGTGCACAGCACCCCGGGGTCAGCTCACTTACCCAGTGAGGCGTAGGAGCCTGGGTTCAGCGCACCCGCACCCAAGCGGCCGGCGGGCGTGGCCTGCCCGGCAGCGTGCTGCGCCTTGGCGCCCGCAGCAGCGTTCACATCGATGTCGCTCCGGGAGCGCTGCAGGCTTCCGGGAAGGGAGCCGGCTTTGCTGCCGCCCGCTGACACTGTGGGAAACAGAGCAGAGGGGATGGGGACAGCTTGGACTGCTGCAAACAGCACGAAAACGACATCAACTTGAACCAGGATGGGCTAGTCCATGATGACAAAGGGTGAAAAGGGAAGTAGTGTACAAATGGATGCTAGAAAGAACTTCAGAGTCCTGCGGTTTCAATCCTGTTACAATTCAATCTTCTTCGACAACTGTCTCAGTATTTTTCTGGCTCACTTTCCTCTTCCATAAAATAGGAAAAACACCTATACTTAGTGGCATTCATACAACTGTTGTGGAGACAAAGACATGACACCTTTGGGGGATGCATGGAAGGAAGCTGTGCCAGGTACCAGACGGAGCGGGGTTGTTGTTGTTTACGATCAGAAAAATGCCAGGAGAACCACTCCAGGATATGGTTATTCAGAAAGTAATGTGAATTCTACCCATCTTTGGCAACGCAAACTAAGCCATTAAATTTCTGGTCTTTAGTTTTCAGTTTTAAAAATGAAGAATTTTATAAACTGTGACTTATGATCCATGAATAGGCCATGAAATCAAGAGTGGGTCACGACCAGCATTTTAAAGAAGTGAAACCAACAAGAAAGGAGTGCATCACAAGTAAGGGTAAGCAGTGCTTCAGGGAACCTGGATTATACTCTATTCTACATAGTACATGTATATCGTATGACTATATTCAACATAGTACATGTATATCATACGATTATACTCTATTCTACATAGGACATGTATATCATATGCATGTAATTATACACACTACATTGTACATACTGTGTGTAGCATACCTATATGGGATACAATGTGTATATGTGGTATTAGCTTACTGTGTAAAATGATGTTCTCACTGTGGGTCATATTCAGAGTTTAAAAATGTTTAAAAGTTACACTTTAAAAGTACACCAAAACAATTTAAAAGCAAAACAATTAAAAGCAGTAGCTTTTAAACCATTCTGATGTGGGCCATGGTGAGAAAATAATTTTATTATTTTTTAAAAATATTTGAGAAAGAGAGAATGTGTGGGGGGGGGGAGAGAAGGAGAGAGAGGGAGACAGAGAATCCCAAGTAGGCTTCTTGCTGTCAGCACAGAGCCCGATATGGAGCTTGATCCCAGGACCCTGAAAGCATGACCTGATCCAAAATCAAGAGTTGGCTGCTCAACTGACTGAGCCACCCAGATGCCCCGAAAATTATTTCAACAGTAACATTATCTATAAGGCAGCTTTTACTTGATCATTCAGTACAATATGCTTTGACTCTTGCTTAAGGAAGGCAGCTTACCTCTTCCAGCCACAGCTGATGGGTTTGCTGTAGACCATTTGGAAGAAAAGGGGCGACTGCAAGGTAAAAAGAAACGCTTTTAGTAAAAAAAAATGTAACTTATTACTCCTCTCAAAACAATGAAATACTGAGTTTTCTGAAGAAGTTGTTTTAATTTAATTAAAATTTTCCTTTTACGAATGACTTCAGAACACCTGTTGTCAGGCATCAGCGGCCCCTCAGCTGTGGAGTGAAAATGGAACAAGTAGCAATGAAGAGACCGCACGCCCTCTGAAGACAAGCAACCAGCGTGCGCCGTTCACTCTGCCCTCAGCACCGCCACCGTGTCACCGCGGCAGGTAACGCACACTCTGGCACCGTGTTCCAAGATGCTTTCCTCAGAAGGACAGAGAGGCAGTGCTACACGAGCACACAGGATTCAGCGTGACCAAAGCCGCCTGCACCTAAGCCATCATGGCCGTGGCCATCAGCAGCTCATGCCGCTGCCAGAGCTGAGCGTTACTGCCGGGGACGAGGGACACGCGGCTAAGGACCGCTGCGGAGGACAGAGAACACGCATGATCAGAAGGCAAAACAGCTCAAATCACCTCAAAGAATCCACCATCTGCCTTAGCAGCTTTAAAAAAATTTTTTTAAATGTTTGTTTATTTTTGAGAGTGAGCGAGTGAGCACGAGCAAGGAGGGGCAGAGAGAGAGGGAGACACAGAATCTGAAACAGGCTCTGAGCTGTCAGCACAGAGCCCAATGCGGGGCTCGAACGAGATGGTGACCTGAGCCGAAGTTGGATGCCCAACCTACTGAGCCACCTAGGTGCCCCTGCCTTAGTCTTTTTTGATTATCTTTCATTACGATGCTCTTCTGCAGCCCGTAGGTAGATAATATATCTAGGTATGTAAGGGGGACCAGGAAAGTTTATCTACAAATTTTAAAGGTGCAGAGGAGAAGCAAAGGCCCCAGACAGGTTCATGCAGGAAAGATAACTGTTCCCACAGCAATTACACTGGAATCAGATAATATCTGCCTTCTCACTGAATGTACGTACAGCACTCACAAAGCACCGTGCGCGCCTTCTGGGACCCTGTGCCCCAGATGCCTGCCTTGCCTCTTCCTGGTGCCACTCCTGCATCAGGGCCCTGCCAAGCAACCAGCAATCTTTGTGCGGTCAAGGTCCCACCGGAATGACATAGAGGTGAGCTCACATTTTGTGAGCTGCTCCCCACTGGGGAAATCTGCAGAACCTTATGACCACTGCTAGGGAGTAGAGATGGCAGCAGAGATTTAGCAACTTCACAGGACTAGAGAAAATGAGCATACGATGCCAAAGCAGTAAAGGTTTGAAGAAGCCAATGTAATGATGAGAATGGAATCACACAGAAGGGAGTCGGACACTAGGGAGCCTGGCCCCCTGAGGAATCTGCTAAAGCCTCCGGTTGTGCAAAGGCAAGGAAGGAAAGCAGCGTGTGTTTACGAGCCACACAGTGCGGTGCAAGAGTTCTAAAGATGACTTCAAAATCCCCATTACAATTCCTCCATTAAAATGCCCTAGAAATGGGCTGCTTACTGTATGAACTGTTTGGGGAGTATTAAAAAATATATATGTAAATTGGTGCTTCCCAATCTTTTTCACAGGCATGAAAATACAGAAACAAAATTTGAATCACTAAACTCTTTGCCCCAGAAGAAGTTACACTAGCATGTAATCCAACCCTTGAAACAAAAGACCAAAAGACTAAGTACAGCTGACCTCAAACAACACAGATCTGAACTGAGTGGGTCCCCTTATATGTGGATTTTTTTGATACATACAGTATAGTACTGTAAACGTATTTTCTCTTCTTTATGATTTTCCTAATATTTTTTCCTCTACCTTACTTTATTGTAAGAATACAGTGTATAACATATATACAACACACAAAACGTGTCCATCGACTGTTTATATTCTTGGTAAGGCGTCCAGTCAACAGCAGGCTATTGGTAGTTAAGTTTTGGGCGGGTCAAGTTCTATGCAGATTTTTGACTTCCTGGGGCATTCGCACCACTAACCCCCACATTGCTCAAAGGTCAACTACACATTCCAGTAATCATTCATTCAAGGCTTTCAGGGAAAGCAAGCAGATACTCAACCATATAACTTAAGGAACTACAGGGAGTTGGAGAGAGAAGAAATCAGTAACCATCATTCATATGACCTTACTTGAGACTTTCCTGTGAGCTAGATGAAGACCTGTCTGATTGTGGAAGAGATGCTACACTGCCAGAACTCTTTAAGTAGGTCTGAAGACTCTTCTGGTAAGATGGCTCAAGTGAATTATACAATGTCTCAGCTTCACCAGGAAAGTGGTTTCTAAGACCCATATATGTCCTGTAAAACAAAGGAACAAACAACAACAAAAGAATATAAAGTAATAGCTTTACATGAAACATGCACATTCAAGAAGAATGAAGATGAGACCGTATTAATGTATCTACCACATATCAAGTGAATACTTTCTAAATCTAACAAGTTTTGGTGGAAAGACTGCAGGCTTTTGAGAAAAGCAGATCTCAGTTCAAAATCTGGCTGGGATGCTTACAGTTTGTATGGCCATGAATAAACCCCTGAATCTCCCAACTTCTGCTGCCAGTCTACAGAGATAACACCTCTGCAGGCTGTTTCAAAGATTAGATAGTAATGTATACCAACTGCTCCACAGTATCAGGTACTCAGCACATTCTCAATAAATGATAGTTATTTTTATTCATAATCAAAGTGAAGATGTTAGGATGGAATATGAATACCGATGATGATACAAATGACAATGTGAGGTCCGTTGTTAGACATCTAGTACCAATTAAAAAAAAAAAACTCTATGCCCAACATGGGGTTCAAACTCATAACCCTAAGATGAAGAGTCGTAGGCTCTACCAACCAAGTCAGCCAGGTGCCCCAAAAATCTAGTTCAGGTTTAATGGAGAAAAATCTACCTCAATTTTACTGAAGAGCTAATCTGGTAGAATACTTGAGACGCTTCTGATATTTTCATTCTTCCAGTATAATTCCCTTCAAAGAAAAGATCCAACTCTGTTTAAGATGTGACGACAACACAGTACAGACTTACTTTCTTGCCTCCACTCTGGCTTCAGCGTCAGCATCATGAATTCCCTTCTTAATAGTTTCAACCAGGACAGCTGCATGTCTATGAAAACAAAACATCTCATTATTTTTTTTAAAGATTTTATTATTTTTAAGCAATCCCTACACTCAACAAAGGGCTCGAACTCACAACTCTGAGATCAAGAGTCGCACGCTCCACCGATTAGGCCAACCAGGTGCCCCAAACAACTTCAGATGCAGGAGTAAAACTGTTATTTCGCCACAAATCATACTTACTGCCTATATGTCACAAATCACTCACAAAGGGGCAGGGGAGGTAAAAAGATGAATTAGTGCATAATAATCCAAGACTGTACGAGTTTCTAATAATCTAATAATAACCCCACATATTTCATTCATGTATGGTTTCCTCCTGACAAGTCAAACATTAAAAACTTGAATATAATTCTTTTTATGAGGGGTCCAAATAATGTATAAATGTTTAGTACTCAAATTTTAAATTCTTAGCAAATAAAAAACAAAACCCTTCAGTGTGGTTCATCACTAACCCACCATTGTAGAAAATAATATGCTAATAGTATGGTCAGTGATGATATGAACTAACTAAATAGTAGCTGCCACAGAAGAACTTAAAGGAAATTTGGAATTATATTATGCCTACATGAAACAAACTCTTATTCTTAAAAAAAAAAAAAAGGGGGGGGCTGTGAATAGGTTTTACCATTTTCCATTAAAATGGAAAATCAGCAACGTATTCCATGCAAATGGAGGTATACTCCAAACCTCAAACTTGAAATTACACCATGCATGTAGCCAACCAGCCAGCTGGCTGCCTATGTTTTCCTCGTTCGTCTCTGAGCTACGTGAGGCACCGCCCAGCGTGCACCTTACCAATGATACTGGACAACTGGTCTGGAGAAACTGCCCAGCGAACCTCTATCTTCTTCAGATCTCTTTCCTCTGAAAAGAAGTGTCTTCCTTCCATCTTAAATCAGTCATTACTTGATTAATTATACCTCAGGTAATCTAGGTCCCTTGTCTGGAGATACGTTTTGAAATTTCTGTCCAGTTTAACCTGCAGTATCTTATTTAATCCACTAAACTTAAGAGATCCTCATTCACCCCACAAGAAGAAAACTCTAGCTGCACCGAGTAGGAGGAAGCATACTACATTACAGCTTTAAAGGAAAACTAGTACAAATAGCTTTTAAGCAAAAGGAGAAATAAGGCAAAACCAATACCATCAACTTCTAAAGAACTGGCGGTAACGGGGAGCGGGAAGCAGGAAGAGTCAATACATACCTTTCCAATGAATGAGTCTGCCACTCTTGTAGCAATAAATCTAAAAATTCAAACGAACGCCTGAAAAATAAGTTAATTATAACTAAATGTTATAACACTGTATTAAGTGATATTTATTTAAAACTAATTGTTAATTAACGCTTTATTCTACTGTACATTGTTCTCTGCATTAAAGTATAAGATATTTTTAGATTATCTTTTTTTTAAGGTTTACTGATTTATTTTGAGAGAGAGAGAGAGAAAGCGTGAGCAGGGAAAGAGCAGAGAGAGGGAGAGAATCCCAAGCAGACTACATGCTATCAGGGTAGAGCCCTATGCAGCACTTGATCCCATGATCCACGAAATCATGACATGAGCCGAAATCAAGAGTCGGACACTTATTAACCGAGCCACTCAGGCAGCCTATGCTTTTAGTTATTGTTACTGTCAAATACTTAACTTACTTTAAAGTTCCAACTACTCCTATGCTAAACAGTTCTATAAAACATTCAGGGTTCCCCATGATTTTAACTTAAAATGTTTGTCAAATATAAAATTTAATATTTAAAGAAGTACTTATCAAACACCTACTATGCACTAGAAATTGAAGACATACAAAGGTGACCAAGAAAGACAGTATAGATCTTCCATTTCCACATTTGTTTTCTTAAATATACATACATATGATTTCTAATCAAGCATTTATACAGTTCCTCCTACATCCTCTAGTTCTCAACTCCTTCAACTGTCTCACTCTGGAGCTTCTCTTCTTTCTTGGCATCTGATGACACAGTTTTCCCCAATTTTTCTCCTTTTATTAACACTTTTCCTCCACCTTCCCTTAAAAAAGTGCTCCCCTGGTTGGGGCTCTTCTCAGCCCACTTCTGTTTCACAGTCTCTACTTGGGACACCTCACCTGTATCATCTGCACCCTTAGCTCTGACTACTAGCTATGCCTCTGGCATTTGGTCCTTTACCTCCAGCACTGGTTCTTTTATTCAGCTGTTAAGTCAAAGTTCCAACCAGTTCATGGCCATCTCTACACAGGCAGAGATTGTCAACTCAAACACTACATACAAAAGAACAGATTAATTCTTACCCTCTCAAATCCATTCTTTTAGCCCATAGTGTACAGTTTAGGAAATGTTAAATTAACTTGCCCAAAGTGACAAGACCTCAACCCCAGCACTCTGCCTCCAGAACTCCCAGTCTGAAGCACCTGATAGCACCTCCTCACCTATATCCAATGATCAAGTTCTCATTTCTACACCCCAAACCCTTTGAATTTACTTACTGATAAAAATCTTCAATCAGTTATCATCAATGCAGCTTACTTCAGACCCTGCCCCTCTTACACAAGCTACAAGAATTCCTACTTAATTAGGAATTAATTATGTCATTAGTGACATTAATTATGTCATTAGTGACAATGCTTCTCATTGTCTCCCCTTTCTTCCCCCTGAAGTTTATTTATTTATTTTGAGAAAGAGGGAGAGCACAAGCAGGGGAGGGCCAGAGAGAGAGCGAGAGAGAGCAAGAGAGAAAGAGAGTGAGAGCGAGAGAGAGAGAGATCTTGAGCAGGCTCTGCACTGATAGCATGGAGCCCAAAGTGGGGCTTTAACTCACAAACCAGGAGATCACGATCTGAGCTGAAACCAAGAGTTGTACACTTAACTGACTGAGCCACCAGGCGCCCCCCTCATCGTTCCTCTCTATCATCGGCCGTAGCTGAAATAAAAACTAAGATGGATGACATTACCTCCGTACCAGAAACTGTCCAAGTATGAAGCAATGTCAAAATTTCTCTCTGTGGTCATTCAAAGCCATCTATACTCTGACTTTAACCTACTTCTGACTGCCCCACCCCACCCACATCAGCCTCTGTTCCTACCGCACCCATGCATTTATCATGAGTTCTGGCCTCCATGGCCTGTCTGATGGCTCTGTGGCACTCGGCAGCTTTACCCCTCTGCCTAGAGTTCACACCCACTCAGTTCCCCTACAGTTCTGGACTTACTTTCCAGTTTCCAGGCAATTTCATCTTTTTATTATATATATTTTTTAATGTTCATTTTTTAAAGAGACAGTGAGCAAGTGAGCAGGGGGAGGGGCAGAAAGAGGGGGAGACACAGAATCCAAAACAGGCTCCAGGCTCCGAGCTGTCAGCACAGAGCCCGATGCAGGGCTCGAACCCACACACTGCAAGATGGTGACCTAAGCCACAGCTGGACAGTTAACCTAAACAACTGAACCACCCAGACACCCCTCAAGGCAATTTTTGATGCATTTCCTGACTCCCTCTTCTGTGTCACATTCCTATTTCTCTAGTTACTACTTCCCTCAACGTAAGACAGAGACTGGCAAACCTTTTCTGTAAAGGGCCAGGCAGTATATATTTCAAGCTTTTTGAACCACATACAGTCTCTAACTTGTATTTTTCTTCTCTCTCCCTTTAAAACCACCCTTCAAAAATGAAATAGTCTTTGCTTGCAGACTGCATATGACTAGACTTGGCCAGACGTGACCAGCGACCTGTCGTTTGCTGACCCTGGACGTGAGACACAGGTGACGGAACACTATCACCCAAACTCTGAACCACTGAAGGCAATAATACCTCTTTCAGCTTCTTCCTAGCGGTCAAAGTGCTTAAATATATATATATATCTATCAAGTAAAAAGAGATTCTCCACAGTTTTGTTTTGTTACTCAAGCAATAATGACCAAATGAGTAAGAACAGATTTTATAAGCATATAGCAATAGAAGCAATATCAAAACATGATCAGCTAGGACTACGGTTTACATTGTTTTGAAGTAAACATCTTTCACTGCAAATATAAAGATGTAGTTTGATTTTCTCATGTCTGCGGTCTTTCAAAAATTGTTTGAGATGGTTTTTGGATCAAATAAATCAAACCATCATAATTCTAAAGCAGTTAAGAAACTGAAATCAAGAAAAGAAGATGAATTCAAAAAAGATGGGTACATGCATCAAATTAGCATATAAAACCTGGTACTTAAAAATGTCTTTTTTTAAAATTATTTCTAAAGTTTATTTTTAATCGTAGTTGACATACAGTATTCCATTAGTTTTGAGTATACAACCTAGTGATACATTACAGAATGCTCACAATAGTTATGACCTGTCACCATACAAAGGTAAACAACAGTAGGATTATATTCTCTATGTTGTACTTTACATCCCGTGACTTACTTATAATTCAGGTTGGTACCTCTTAATCCCATTCAACCTATTTTGCCCATCCCCCTCCCCTCTGGCAACCACTAGTTAGTTTTCTGTATTTATGAATGTTTGTTCATTTGTTTTGTTTTTAGGCTCCACACGTAAGTGAAATCACATAGTACGATTCTTCAACTTTTTTTGTAGTATGTATATATTTATGTATTTATTTCTTTATTTATGTAAAGTAAGTAAGTAATCTCTATACTCAACATGGGGCTTGAACTCACGCCCCATCAAGAGTGGCGTGCTCATCCGACTAAACCAGCCAGGCGCCCCCTGATTCTTCACAATTTTCTTAAACATCAAGTGTACAAATCTTGTTTTTGTTGTCTTTAGTATTGATGGTAATCTGATGGTATTAAAAACAGCGGAAACCATAAGGACAGACAGAGAAAGACTGACAGGCTGACCTGATAGGGCTGTTCATTCTGTCCCAAACACTAATGAATTCTGCTCATGTGCATCTACCTCATTCAATCCTCACCACTGCATGGAGTCCTGGCATCAGCAGTACTAACACGCGTAGACGCTGCTGCGCAGAGCAGTTTAACCTGCCCGAGGTAGGACAGTGCAGTGGCAGCGGCAGCGCTCTAGCAAAGGCCTGCCTCCAGACTCCATTCCCTCTGAAAACCAGGCAACGAGCGGCCCAAAGAAACCAAAGCTTAATAGGAGAAAACTGAAAAACATGGGTGGTTGTAATGGTCATTTCATTTTTCCTTGTAGGACATAAGATTAAAAAAAATTTACTACAGTTTCTAGAAGGCAAGAAATCTGTGATGACTAAATTACACACCAGAATTAAGAATTAAACATACTATTAAAGCTATGCTAAATTTGTTTTATCTCAAAACTTACCTCCTTACAGGAACTGATTTTGATGTGCAATTGCTTGTTATTAAAGGTATAAGTCTGGGTACATGAGTATGCTGAAAAAGATGTTTTAGAAAAGGTTGAAAAATATCGTCCACTTCACACAATCCCTTCTTCTATTTGCCTTACAACCAACTATTTAGATATATTAGAACAGAACCACAAGACCATAAAATGAGATTCGGAAAGAAATCAAACCTGTGAAACAGTTTCCCCAATTAAAGTCACAGTGAGATGAGACAGTCTCAGAAGCACAGATGTGGCTGTAACAGTGCGTAGGAGAAGTTAATCAGTAACTGTGAAGAACTGTCGGGGCAGTGCGTTCTGGGGAGGGGCAGCAGGAGGACGGTCCGTGCGTGTGTCAAACTCTGAAGCGCCGCAGCTACTGCTGGGGAGGAGAGTAACTACTGGGTCATCAAAGCGCGTAACCAGAGGGAGTGTGCGCACCTAAGTGCTGGGAATGCGCTTGGAAATGGTGATTTAAATGGCAGTTTCACTGTGGCTGGACCCCAGCTGTCTAGAATTCAGGTGAAGTTCAACACATATAATCTTTTGATTTCTATTAGTAAGTTTACACGCTAGTGAAGAAAACACTCAAAAGTACACAACAGACAGCAGGATAAAATAGTACTCTAAGCATACATACTTGATGCTTCAAGTGCCCTATTTTTCTCCTGAGCTAATGGTACAGGCCAGATAAGCCGGCAAGCAGGCTCTGAGATGAAGTCTAGCGCACGGGATATTGCGAGTGCCCTTGGGATCAGCACTTGTGGACGGGGGCAAAGCAGGCAGCAACAGGCAGAGGAAGAAATCCATCTGTGACTCAGCCACAGGGTATCTTTGCTAGAAGCCATTAGGGAGCTCTGCAGTTAAACCAGCCCTGCAGAGTAGTCTCGAATTGGCTCCAAATGGCCCAAGCGTTAACTTGCACATCGGTTCGTTGCTGGACGTGGGCCCCGTGGGCGGGGCAGGCCCCTGGGAGCGCAGCTCTCTGCCGCCGAAGGCTTTCTGCTAAACGCCTTCCAGTCTGGGTTTAAGAAGAGTCCGTCACGGAAGAAGAACACGTGCGGCCCGCCTGCATCTGCCAGAGCTCCCTCACCCAAACCTGGCGCAGCCGCCCTGGAGGGAAACCACCTAGAGACCTGACGTTGTTCCAAACGGGAATTACGGGACAGAGTGCTGGCCCGTGTGTGACTGAACCCCGCGCGCCACAGCGGGGCTCTGTGGACCTGCTCCCGCAGCACCAGAGGAGCCTATTCCGAACCAGCGCTGCAGCGTTAAAGCCCGAGGAGGCTCCCCGGCCACGGCACGCCACCCAGGTCTTCCCTTACCGACCTTCTCTGCCCTCTCCTAACCTCCCCCAAACCCTCCTGCTGATTAACACACACTGGACACAGTGGCACGTGTGGGGAGGCACACGGACTCAACTACTGCTAGGCCATATTCAGGGAGAGCCGTTCCAGAGGGAAGTGAAAAGTGCACACTACAATTATCGATAAAGCATTCACCCGAACACCAAATCAGACAATTTAGATTTTAACTTATGAATTTAAGTGGACAACTGGAAAATAAAAACCTTCTTTAGAATTAAAAAAAAAAAGAGTTAGATATCGAAGAGAGCGATCTAAGGAAGGAGTCTTCCGGGAGACCAACAAAACACAGAAAACAGGAAATAACATAAAACCACCACGTGATTTGTATTTTCAGCGACATGACAGGATAGTGCATCAATAACGTGAAACAAGCTTATGAAAAATGAGAAATTTGAAAACAACGTATGATGTATAAGGCCTCAGAATGGCAACATAGGAAATTGTCACATAAGGAGAATTTAAAGGAATTTTCCTTGAGGACATATACCTGTCAGACAAAAAACAAAAAATTATCCAAGAAATGATAAATGATACTGAAGGTTCCAAAACTATGTAATAAGAGTAACAGGAAAAAAAAAAACTGGCAAAGAAAACAGAAGCAATAAATAAATGAACCATAAAAATTAACATAACTTAAGGAGAATTCATCCTCATCAGAAACTGTTAGACACTGTGGAAGGAAAGCGCTGATGAAGTTAGAAGCCCCCGCTGTCCTACTGTGGGAAAACTCCGAACACCCGTAAAGCTTCCTCAAGTTTTTACTTTTTGTTTTTCTAGAAAAGAAACAAATGGTATCTCACTTCTTAGACACAACGGTTAAAATAATTCTGAATGAAAAGTAAATAATTCTGAGGAAAAAGGAATATGAACCTAGGGTATAACTTTTTAGTTCTGTAAGGGCAAAGAAAGGGCATTTTATTTTATTTTTTCTTAAGGGCATTTTAAAATATGCAAAGATGAATACACATGAAAACTGAGAACACACTAACCCCAACAGAAATTACTCAGAACCAGTTAAAAAATGGTTGGTGAGAGCTTACTGATAACCAATGGTCAGGAATGAAGGAAGTAAAAACCTACAATTTTCAATCTCTGAAAATGAAAATGTTTTTGTTCAATTTCATGGTTAAGGGAAAAATGACATGAATTAGGTAAATGTAAACTTTTTAAAAGGTGGGGGAAGTAAAACAGGTTCTATTCTTGACACTGATAAAGAATAAGGGACTTCTAAGAAAATAAGAAACAAGTAAGAAAAAGCACAAGGAACAGAAAACAGAAATTATAGGAAGAAATGTTATTTCAAAACGGCAACAGTAAAACACTTTAACCATACATAAAATAAAGCAAGAACTGTTAGGAAACTGAAATTGACAAAAACTAGAATCAGAATTTGCTAGATAAAGTACCTTTTTAAAAGACGAGACCATGAAGAATTGGAGTAATATAAAATATCAAGTTGGATTTAGAGGTGAACAAAGTACTCTATAAATAAATTCCATAGTTTGTAAGTACTAAAAGACCACCTATATAAATTTATGATGTATTGAGACACAAAATTCAAGACATTGCCTGAAGAAACCGTGTAATCAAATTCTCTAATCAGAATGTGATGAAATTATAAACTAAGGAAAAGAGCAACGAAAGAACCATCTGAAAACGCAAATATCATTATGTAAGTCAAAGAGGATGTTGAAATGAAAATTACAAGTGAATAAAGAAATATCACATAACAAAAACTGTAACAAATTATCTTAGGACATACTACAAAGATCTAGGGGGGAGAAAGCAGGAGCCAAAGCAGGTCAAAGAAAGAAATTAAGAAACTTTTAGGAACAAAAAGTTATAAAAAACTGAAGAACATCCTTGGAACCAACAAAACTAAAATATGAAGCTTATAAAAAAAACAAACAATGCCCCCGGCAAGTTTAAAAAAAAGAAAAAAAGGTAACAGAACCACAGTGCTACGTACAGGCATTTTTTTTTTTTACCTTAAAGAGAAAACAGTATACTACCTCACGCAAAAGATTCTTAAATATGGAAAGAATATGTAAGAAAATACAAGTAACCAACAATTCAAAATGAAATGCAAAAGTGCCCAGGGTCTAAGACATTTGAAAACTTATTACAGAACTTCCAAGGTCAGCAAGCCATAACAATAGAATAATGTAATAATAAAATATATAAAGGAAGAAAAGTACAGAAAATCCTAAAAAGACTCATATATTAAAATGAATGCCAAAATTTTAAGTATTAGCCAAATGAATCTAGCAATACCATGACGTACAATGGCCGAGCAAAATTCAGCTCATGAATGTACAATGGCTAACTAAAGACAGAACCATTTCTAAAGACATTAAATAGATAGCTGACAAGATTTCACATCTATTCCTGATCAAAATGTAGCAAAATACGAATAGAAGTAAATTCCCATAACCTAACACAGAGTATCTAAGGAAATCTGCATCAAATATCATATTTGAAGTACTCCCATTAAACTCAAGACAAAACAAAGACCTCAATAATTTCTACTATTTTTCTAGATTTAGAGAACCTTAAAAAAATATTAAACTAGAAAAGAAGGACCATCTTCACAGATAAATTCATAGTTTTTTTAAAGAGCCATTGATTTTATCACTGAAAAAGCCTTCTGGTGCAGCAGTATTAGAAAGAAATTTTATTCCCTTAGTTAGGAAAGAATAAATTGGTCAAAGAAACGGAATAGGAGCTCAGGAAACAAACCCATATACTTTATGGAAATTTACTATATGGAAATACTGCCATTGTAAAAAAAGACTGAATTATACATGCCATTGAGTCAACTGATCTTGTACTTGGGGGGAAAAATCATGTTAGATATCTATATTTCACACAGAAACGAAACCCAGTTAGATTTAAACATAAACAAAATTATTAAAATGTTAAAATAATTGAATATTTTTATAACTGTGAAATAGGGAAGGTCATTTTAACTATAACAAGAGCCACAAAAGGAGCACTGTCTCAACACATAAAAATTTAAAAGTACTCTATATAACAAACAATAGTTTCAACAATATTTGAAGAACTGACCAGTAGAAAACAGTACCTGCGACATATATAACACAGAATCAATATACTTATGATATATAAAAAGACTTTAGAAATCAGGAGAAAAAACTGTACCAAGAGTATAAACTGGCAATCGACAGAAGAATTGTGAAAGGAAAAAAATACCAATGTCTCTGATAATCTAAGAAATACAAAGTACAGAATATGAAATAATACTCCAAGTATTGAATTATAAGATTTTGAAGAGACTGATAATACACAGTGCTGGTAAAGGATGGAGAAAAAGGACCCCATAAACTTCAGGACGAAGAACGGCAGGGATGACCTAATGTCAATGCCTTTTAACAGAGAACCAATCCAGACATTAAGAAAAATTAGACATATAGAAAAGGGAAGGTGCCCAAGTACATGAAGTTGAAAAACCAAGTTAAAAAGTATTATTTATACATTTAAATATAGTATAATGTATATAGTATTTATATTTTGTAATAAATACTGTTTGTATAGGCATAAAACAGAAGTTCGGAAAAGTATATACTGAATGGCTAGAGTGATTAACTGTAGAAGAATAGAATTCAAGAGGGGGGGATTTATTTTTCTTAACTTTTTTGGGAGGCACCTTCAAGATACTGAGGATGAGAAATATTAAGAATTTGCCTACTATACCATGGCCTACAACATTTTACTGTTTTACAGTTGCCCATTACTACCTATAACATAATTACGCATACACACATACACCTAAGTGTAGATGCACGTGTATCTATCACATTCAGTGCAAGTGTATTTACTCTGTAATCTTCTGTATTATTTAAATGTTCTACAATAACTGCAATAAGCATATATTTCTTTTATCTCATAAATAAGTAAATAAATAACAATACCAAAGACTTATTTCAGTATACTGAAAAAAGAGAGAGGGGAGGAGACCGGGAGAAAGGCAGAAGAACCTACCCGAATGATGAATCTGATAGCTGCACATCCAGAAGTTGCCATGACTTTTGCGCTATTGGGGACGAGATTAAAAAGCGTAGGGACAATGGCTTCAGCGCCATGATCAAACTTGTTTCCCAAAACTGTTGAAAGATGTCTACGAAAGAAGACCAAAGAATGTTTGTTTGTTTTTTATGTTTGTTTGATTTTTAAGTTATTGTTAAGTACAGGTAGGATCTTTAAAAATCTTATTGAATTACTTAAAAAATATTCTCATTGAATTAACTTTGAGTTAATTTTTATTTAAGTTATTGTTATTTTTTATTTTAACCAGTTCTAACAGCAGAAAAACAAAAGAGAAAGGGAAGTGCAAATATTACTCATTTCCTTCTTTTCCCCCCTCTTTGTCTAGTCCAAAGCTGAAATCTGGCATTTTACCATACTTTACAATGGCAAAGCCAAGCCATCTGATCTCAGAATTTAACCATCATCTTGACAGGTAAAAACATTCAGCCCTGATTGCCCTGACTTTTATTAGTCTTTATCCATCAGATATGTCTAGTTGATGCCCTGATATCAATTTTAAATTCAACATATTTTACAAACAAGTTCAAAATCTTTACCCAAATCACTACTTCTCAAGACAGCCACTATTTCTATTAACGAGACTACCACTATTTTTTTTGGTCAGCAATACTCTCCTACATCTTTGGTGTAGGATTCCAGAATTTTTGACTGAAAATACACGTCTATAACATGCTAGTTAGTTGGGTGACCCTAAGGATCTCTATCTTTTCTTTCCAATTTTGTAGTTAAACAACTAAATTCAGTCATTAATTGCATGATTTAGTTAGAACACTTTGGAAAGATCACTCACAGTTCTGACAACTGCTTCCTTTCTATATATCTTATTTAAAGTACACCATTGGGATACACTTAGCTCCAAAAATTCATGCTCTTGATTCAAAGAGGAACTCAGACTCAGGCTTATTTACTAGCGTTCAGTTATACTTTCAGTTTTCTAATGTCTAAACTTGTGGGCAAAGAGGAACCTCAAACGAGAAGCAAGCAGACAGTGTGGTCTTCCTTTAAAAAGTGAGTTTTGTTCTGGCAGGCAGGTGATGTACTTGGGAATCAGCTCGATCTTTATTATTGAAAGGAGCCTTATTTTAGAACCAGTTTAGTACTATTCCTATACAGTGGCCTTTCTGGGACCTCTGTGAATGCCCGGGGTGTTCAACGAGGTTTCTGCATTCTGACCCATCGGAACTTGAACCTCCCCCAGCCCGAAGGAGCTCTGGGAGCTATTGTTTACCAGCAGCAGCTTCCAGCAGCAGCAGCAGCTCTCTCCCATCCGGGGAGCTGCACCTTTCACGGGCACAGAGTAGTGTTCAGCGAGGCTCGTGGGATGCCTTATGCAGCAGGATCTCTAGAGCTCTTTCGCTATTCCTCTCCCTACTCTTCCGGATTCTGCATTGCAAACTGTAACCACTTCAGCCTTCCGAAACGCCAATCTCTGTTTCTCCTTCAACTCAATGAAACGGAAACTCCAATCTCTGTTTCTCCTTCAACTCAATGAAACGGTCTTGCTCTGCCTGGGTTCTTTCTTCCTTCTCCATGGTCCAGAAAGTATATTTTAGTCAAAACTGTGCTGATTATACTGCTCAACTGATTTGTTTCTTTCAAGAACCACAGTCCTGCTCTGTCCACTGTCCACTATCTAGAAACAGCTGTTCTGCATGTTCCATCCACTTTTCGGCAAGAGAGCTAGTTCTGTACCGACATGTTGCATCGTTAGCTAGAAGCAGAATTTTCGCCAGAGAGTATTTCTCAAGGTTATATTTTCTAGATTTCTGTTTTCCTTTTTATTATTGCTTTTAAGAGACATTCAGTTATTTTGTATATTGAGTTGTAGCTAACATCTTGTTAAAGACACTTAATTATCATAATTTACCTATATATGCTTGTGGTTTTCTGAATGGATAATTATATCATCTGTGAATAATGTCAGTTTTGTTCCTTTTCTAGCAATCCGCATAGTTTTCATTTCCTGGGCTATTTCCTCCACTGTTCTGACCATGACATCTAATATAATTCTGATTACAGATATTTATAGCAGGCATCTTTGTATTCCCTAGCTTCAAAGGAATGTTTATATAACAATAGTACTCAGATCAGAAATAGAGGCAAAAGAAATTGAAGTGTCGTACCATATTAGAATTTTGGGAAAAACTTAGATATTGATAAGTTAATGGCACACGTTATAATTCCAGGATAACTTAAAGTTTTGGAACTAGAAGGCTTAGTATCCAAATCAGTAAAAACAGAACAGTTCTCAGAGCCATTCATTTTCTTCTTATACACTTAGTGACCAAAAATGAACCAGTGGGCTTTAGACATATAAGCACCTTTTAACATTTTTGTTAAGAAAGATTAAAAAAGAAAGAAACAAATCACACAAACTGAATCCTTCTTTATAATAAAAATTATTTCTGGATCACATACATGCTGTTTTGGGGTTATCCTGCTACTAAAGGCTTTACTTAATGAGCACTGAATCACTGAGTACTAAATTTTCTCATAAAAAAAGACTAATCCAGAAAGAACATACTTACGCTACAGTAATGCAAGCTTCTCTAACCACCTGGGATCTAAGATCCTTCGCTGAAAGTTTCAGTGCTCCGTCCAACAAGCGTAAATGTTGGAAAAAACAGTCATATTGTGCAGCTCCAGCAACAAGCAATGATCGAATCTTCTTAAGCTAAAGTAAAGAGAACTTTCATTATTGACATAAACAGTGTCAGTGCCAAAAAAAAAAAAAAAGTTATTAAAACTTCATTATTTAAACAAAATTTAAAAAGTAACATTTCAGGGGTGCCTGTGTGGCTCAGTCAGTTAAGCGTCTGACTTCGGCTCAGGTCATGATCTCACGGTTCATGAGTTTGAGCCCTGCGTTGGGCTCTGTGCTGACAGCTCAGAGCCTGGACCGTTTCAGATTCTGTATCTCCCTCTCTCTCTGACCCTCCCCTGCTCACGCTGTCTCTTTCTCTCTCTCAGAAATAAATAAAAAACATTAAAAAAAAGTAACATTTCAGTATATTTGTATAGCTACATTCAGACATTTTAACAGTATTAAATGTATTTTATAAACAAACATGCAAACCACAAAAAGCTTTCTGGAAAAGAACATTATGTATAGATTTAGTTATATACATAATGGACATACGTAATGTATGAATAGGTAAGTAAATTTTAAAGTTTTAAGGGCGTCTTTTTATTGGGTAAAATACACATTAACATAAAATTATTTTAAACATTTTAAAGTATATATACAACTCAGGGACATTAGGTACATTCAAAATGGGCAAACATTACCACTGTCTACCAAGGATGCTATTTTCAAAGGGGCCAAAGTTGGAACCTGTATTCACCCACAAGCAAAAGTGCAGAATCAAATGGCCAACTACTGTGCCAGGTCCATATTTTAATGTGGTCACATTTATTTTGTGAAATAAATAGCTCTTTCTCCCTATTTCTATCCTTCAGCGTGACTTCTTAATAGAAGGTTGACAAACATGCTCCACAGGAACACTGGACATGCCAATAAAGTCACATAACCAAAAGACACCCACAGGGCACATCTGTGCCCACACACGGAGGAGCTAAAAGTTTACCTATCATATCCATTTTTATGTATAATTTCACATTAAACTCTGAGGTCCTCTAAAATTTTAAGAGATCTTTAAAACTAAATCAGGGGCGCCTGGGTGGCTCAGTTGGATAAGCATCTGACTTCAGCTTGGGTCATGATCTCACAGTTCGTGGGTTCGAGCCCCACGTCGGGCTTTGTGCTGACAGCTCAGAGCCTGGAGCTCTTTCAGATTCTGTGTCTCCCTCTCTCTCTGTCCCTCCCCTGCTCATACTTTGTCTCTCTCAAAAATAAACAAACATTAAAAAAATCTAAAAAAAAAAGATAAAAAAATAAAACTAAAGCAGATGGATTAACAAAGAAAAACATAAAAAAGATACTATAATAGTATGACAAAAATCTGGAAGGAGAGTTAAATCAGAAGACACCTAAACAAGATTAACTAAAAACAAAACAAATCACAATATGGTATGAAAAATTACGTGTAACAGAGGAGTACGATATACAAAGAATGACAATAAAGTGAGAAAAAGACAAATAATCCAATATTAAGTTAGGCCAAATAAATACATGAAAATGTGCTCATCCTCACTAGAGATAAGCAAATGCTAAATTACAATAAAGAGACATCATTTTTCTCCATCAGACTTAACAGCATCCAGTATGAGAAAGAAAACAGATGCTCTTATTGTAAGGAAAATTATGAGTCACTAACACCTTTGTTCAAAACATCTTATCAATATCTACTAAAATAAAATTATACCTATTCTTTACTCAACAAGCTCACTTTAAAAAATTTAACCTACAACAATAAAACACCAGTGTTATAAATGTGTGCAAGGATGTTTCTTGCGATGCTGTCAAAATAGCAATAAAGAAAAGGCAACTGTTAAGTCTGTTAAATGGGAAATGTTTAGTAAATTACATGGTATCTTTTAACGAAGGAATATATGTACATACTGATCTGCACTCAATAAATACCTGAGCAACTATTATACGCTTGGCACCTATAGCAAAAGTACCAAATGGGCATGATTTATGAAAGAAAGTGAATGAAAATAAGTTATTAATATACCTAGTATGATCTCAATTTATTTTTATAAAAGGAGCGTGTGTGTGTGTGTGTGTGTGTGTGTGCAAACTCTCTTTATCTTATCATACATTCACAGAGAAGAGGATATACTCCAAAATGAAACATTGGTTTCCTTAATAGGAAGTAAACTATTAACTTTTTCCTTATAAATCTTCTGTACTGTTTTCACTTATTAAAATGAGCCTATGTCACTTTTCTTTTATTTTTTTAATGCTTTTTTATTTATTTCTGAGAGAAAGAGAGTCGGCACAAGAAGGGGAGGGTCAGAGAGAGAGGGAGACACAGAATCTGAAACAGGCTCCAGGCTCTGAGCTGTCAGCACAGAACCCGATGTGGGGCTTGAACCCATGAACCGTGAGATCATGACCTGAGCCAAAGCCGGACGCTTAACCGACTGAGCCACCCAGGCGCCCGCCTATGTCACTTTTCTAATTAAAAAAATTAAAAGACCATCTATATGTTTCCAAAAGAGTTGTTTCAAAGTAAAAGAAAAAACTCATTTTTTTAAAAAGTAACCTCACCCAAAGTGGGGCTTGAACTCACAACTCCTTGGACTCCTGACCCCAAGGACTGAGCCAGCCAGGGGCCCCAACAAGAAACTCTTAAGTACCAAGTTTGTGTTTCATATTGACAACATCTAATTTGTGCTGTTTCTCCACAGACCGCCTATGACATGTCTTCCCATCTCCTACTGACCTCAGAGCTGAAGATTGAGTAATGAACCATATTTAACAAAAACGGGACATATTTTCTATGAAAATACTTTAATACCGTAAAATATGTAAACTTCCTATTAAAGAGAAGCTTAAATTCTTTTGTTCGTAGAGTCATAAAGGCCAATTTTCAAAAGGCCGTATGTGATTGGTTAATCAAAGTGGAGGCAGAGACCAGGCTGCTCTCGGAGTAGAAGACTTCTGGCATTTTAAGGACACGGAGGTACTTACCTGGAATACCACATGTAAATTTGACAAATTTACAAATTTTAACATATACAGTCCTTTGTCAATGTAGAAATTATTTTTAAAATATTTATCAAATATTTTCTCGAGGAATTTGGGCTAAATTATTCTTTTTTTTTAATTAAGTTTATTTGAGAGAGAGAGAGAATGCACGCCAAGTGGGGAAGGGGCAGAGAGAAATGAAGAGAGAGAGAGACTCCCAGGCAGGCTCCATGCTGTCAGTGCAGAGCCTGATGCAGAGCCTGAATCCACGAACTGCAAAATCATGACTCAAACTGAAATCAAGAGTTGGAAGCTTAACTAACTAGCCACCCAGGTGTCCTCCCAAGTAAAAAATTCTTTTTTTAAAAAAAATATTTATTTTTGAAAGAGAGAGAGAAAACACAAGTAGGGGAGGAACAGAGAGAGAGGGAGACACAAAATCCGAAGCAGGCTCCAGGCTTTGAGCTGTCAGCACAGAGCCCGACATGGGGCCTGAACCCACGAACCAGGAGATCATGACCTCAGCTGATAGCCAGGGCTTAATTGACTGAGCCATCCCCAGGCGCCCCTGAATAAAATATTCTTAACTCAAGGATATGAGACTTTTTCCTTTTCACATCATGGGTGAAAAATACTTATCGTATTCAGAGATGTGAGAAAAGAAAGAAAAACGGCCAAACAGACATATCATCAACTTCCGTCACTACGATGTAAGTATCAAGCATGCAGGCAAAGCGAGCTGCTTTATCAGAGCCTTCTAGGAGCTGAGAACATGGCTGAGGAACAGCTACGTTCACCGCAGCACACAGAGCCACTGCCCAGGGACATAAGCGAAGCTCACACTTTCCTGCTCAGTCAAGAGGAAGCACATGCAGGGGTGCCTGGGTGGCTCAGGTGGTTAAGCGTCCGACTTCAGCTCAGGTCATGATCTCACGGTTGGTGGGTTTGAGCCCCACGTTGGGCTCTGTGCTGACAGCTCGGAGCCTGGATCCTGCTTGGGATTCTGTGTCTCCCTCTCTCACTGTCTCCCCCCCCGCCCCATCCCCGCCCATGCTCTGTCTCTCTCTCAACAATAAATAAACAATAAAAAAATACTTAAAAAAAAAAAAAGAGGTAGCACACGTGGAGAGACAAACAAATATGAGAGACGGGTGCCACTGATCAGCACAAACAATGAAAACTAACCCTAACTAAGAGAATTCCTATCACTTCAAAGTGATTTCCAGAAAGAAATTTCAGCTATCAAACTCTCGACTTCATAAGCAAACACTACGTAGAAATATTACCCAATGTCCATATTTTTGGAATATTGAAAAAAAAGGGGAAAGGGATAAGAAAATAAAAAATAAAACTTACTGCATTGGCACGCTGATCCCAGTCGTGTTTGTCATCTGACAATATTTCCCTGATTTTATTTAATGTTTCTTCAAGTTCTCGACTAGAATAGATCTTAAAGATACAAAATTATAAACATTAATATTTCCTGCTATAAGCAACATCAAAACTGTGCCTCGATATTTACAATAATCTTTTAAGTAATAAGGTTAATTCCCATTCTAGTACCATTTTTTTAAAAAATAAAATACTATGTAATTTATTTTGTACCGCAGTGATTAGTGGCAGTATTGTCGCTCCCATCTTATTTTATTTATTTAGTTTTAGTTTATATCCAAGTTAGTTATATGGTGCAGTAATGATTTAGGTGATTCATCCCTCACGTAGAACACCCAGTGCTCATCCCAGCAAGTGTCTGCCCCAATGCCCCTCACCCGTGACCCACCCCCGCCCACAGCCCCTCCAGCAACCCTGTTTGTTCTCTGTATTTAAGAGTCTTTTATGTTTTGTCCCCCTCCTTGTTTTTATATTATTTTTGTTTCCCTTCCCTTAAGTTCATCTGTTTTGTATTTTAAATTCCACATAGGCATGAAGTCATGATATTTGTCTTTCTTTGGCTTATTTCACTTAATATACTCTAATTCCATCCATGTTGTTGCAAATGGCAAGATTTCATTCTTCTTGACTGCAGAGTAACACTCCATCGTATATATACATGCCACATCTTCTTTATCCATTCATCTGTCGATGGACATTTGGGCTCTTTCCATACTTTGGCTATTATCGATAGCGCTGCTGTAAACACTGGGGTGCGTGTGCCCCTTCAAAACAGCACACCCGTATCCCTTGGTTAAGTACATAGTAGTGCAATTGCTGGGTCATAGGGTGGTTCTATTTTTAACTTTCTGAGGAGCCTCCACACTGCTTTCCAGAGCGGTTGCACCAAGTCTGCATTCCCACCAGCAGTGCAGAAGAGATCCTCTTTCTCTGTATGCTCGCCAACATCTATCACCTGAGTTGTTAATGGTAGCCATTCTGACCGGTGTGAGGTAGATTCTCAGTGTGGTTTTGATTTGTATGTCCCTGATGAGGAGGGATGGTGAGCATTTTGAATATGTCTGTTAGCCACCTTCTAGTACCATTTTTAATGGAAACTGGGAACACATTATAGACCATAAAATAAAATGCTTTGATTTGTCTTCCTTACCTGTTACCCTTATGCTATTTCTCCGCTCATGAGTAACTTCAGATATATTCTTAAAAAGATGCAAATATCCTAAGAATTCATTTTAAGCCTAATTTCTCAAAATGACTTCAGGTATATATCTATTGCTTTTATACCCTTATTATTACACATGACTGCAGAAGGACACGGTTTAGGTTAGCTCCCCCACACTTTAACCAGGGTAGCTACAGGCTCTGTTTTCTCAGGAGCCAACCGTTTGTCAAACACCACTATCCTTTCATTCACTTCATTATTCACATAACAGGAATGCAAAATGCTAGGCATGAAGGATATCATGGTGAGAAAAAATAGGTCTTTGCCTTATGGAGTTTATAATCTAACTACGGAGAGCAAATCATATAGAATTGCAAATAGAGAAGTACTGCCAAAAAGATTACAATTCCCTGAGTCTCTCTATATACAATAGGAGGGTTGAACTAGGTAAGAGAGTCAAGTCTGAACTAAGAGCTAAAGAAGGGGTCGAGCATCCTCAGGCCATGTAGGGAGATTAGCCTTCCCTAGAATGAAAAGAACATGCAAAGGCTCTGTGGCAGAAGGAAAGTGAAAGAAGGCCAAACCACAGGAGTAAAAAGTGAAAAGGGGGCCAGGGAAATAGCCAATGACCCAATCATAAGTCAAAAGGTGCATGATATTTTTCCACAGCACAAAGGTTCAGAGCAGGCATGCGATGCAAATAGGTTCAGTAAGAAGGACTCTCACAGAAAACAGGCAGAGGGCAGTGAAGGGGTGAGGCTCAGACAGTTGCAGCCATGTTGCTGACCATGAGGGAAGACAAAACGGAGGAATCCAGAGTGAGAAATGGAAAGAAAAGGGGTCCTGGTGATATCATCAAGTAATATCAAGCAAATACCTTCATCAAAACAGTCTTTCTTTTTCAATAGCCATTAATTTCCCCTTTTGCTTGAAACACCCCTCCCTCCCAAAACAAGACTACAAAGGGGAGCAGGGCATGAGACGGGGTGAGGTAGGGGAGTCCAGACACCATTCTGTTAGAGAATGACTGATGGAGGGTTCGGAGCAGCCTTCTCGCCTCCCAATTCCCCTCACAACCGTCCTTCTGCCCAGTTCCAGAGGAACGGCAAGGCCCTCAGCCGCTCTCCATCTTACTACGTGTGATGCACTGCTCTGGAAGAGTGTCAGGCTTCCTCTCCCCCAGCAAGGGACGCAGGGTCACCTCAAAAATGTATTTCAGTGAGAGGGCACACAACTTTTCAGACATTCTTTTAGGAGATGATACAAGCAAAAGAAGTCTGAATACCACTGAGTGGGAAATCTGTCGTATCAGGATTCCTGGGTTTCTGACTTCTGTAAACGGATTAAGTAACGGTTTCCACATACAAAACCCTGGAAGCATAGGTTTCTAAGGAGAAGATAATGAATCCCATCTCGGACAGGCAGAGTCTGAGACGCCTCTGAGGCCTCTATGACGACACGTGAGGTACACAACAGTGGGGAAATTATTTTGGGGCTCAAAAGAGATAAAAACCTGTGCAGGAGCTGAAGCCAGGGGTGTGAAGGAAGTGACTTAGTAAGAAAGTGGAAAGGAAAGGGCCTACTACTGACCCCTATGAAATCCCAATATTCAACAGCCAGGTAGAGAATGGTATGCCTGCAAAGGAGACAGAGATGAAGTGGACAAAAAGGTAAGAGTGTAAAAATAAAACATAACGAGTCAAAAAAAGGGAAGAACAATGTATCACAAACAGCATTAAAAAAAAGTGGATGTACTCGAACACTGCAATGTAAGGATTCAATATGGATTCTACTTTAGTCTCTGAAAAATCACTTGAAAATCTAACTGCACCAAACAAATTAACAGCTCAGAAGTCATAAACCAGTCATTTAAGGAAAAAAAGAACTTTTAAAAAGAGACAAAAACAATTACATGAACAGGTATGTGAGCAAAACTCACGGGGAGTACCACTTTACTGGAATCCTTACCTGAACAGAAGGGACATCTGTAAAAGCTTTTATAAAATCATCTTCATCAACTGCTCCAGCACCTCCTTCCTTAGAAGCACCTGCTAATTAAAAGATTTATTTTTAAGTTTATTTTTTTGAGAGAGAGAGAGAGAGAGAGAAAGTGAGCACAAGTGAGCAGAAGAGGGTGAGAGAGAGAGGGAGAGAAAGAATCCCAAGCAGGCTCCATGCGGTCAGTGCAGGGCCCGATGCAGGGCTCGAATTCACAATCCATGAGGTCATGGACCTGAGCCGAAATCACAAGTGAACACTCAACTGACTGAGCTACCCAGGAGCACCTAATGTTTACTTTTATGCATTTTATTACCAAGGAAAATATGAAAAGTATAATAACTCTTTTGATATCAACAAAGGCATAATTGAGAGACGTTCCATTTTATAAGACAGCATTAAAATAAAATCAACATCTTTCAGAAATGTCAAGGTACATAGCAATTGTTGACTAATTCTTTATAAAACAAGAGGGCAAGCTAGTCATCAAATCCAAATGAGAAGAACAGAGCCCTCCCATCCTTATTCAATGCAACAGCGAAGACACATGAAATAGGGGTGCCTGGGTGGCTCAGTTGGTTGGACGACCAACTTCAGCTCAGGTCATGATCTTGCGGTGTGTGAGTTCGAGCCCTGCATTGGGCTCTGTGCTGACAGCTCAGAGCCTGGAGCCTGCTTCAGATTCTGTGTCTCCCTCTCTCTCTGCCCCTCCCCTGTTCACGCTCCGTCTCTCTCTCTCAAAAATAAATCAAGCATTTAAAAAAAAAAAAAAACCCACAAGAAATAAAGGTGAAAAGACAATCATTTAAAAGGGTAAATGGCAGGGCGCCTGGGTGGCTCAGTCAGTTGAGCATCCAACTTTGGCTCAGGTCATGATCTCACGGTTCGTGGGTTCGAGCCCCGCATCAGGCTCTGTGCTGACAGCTCAGAGCCTGGAGCCTGTTTCAGACTCTGTATCTTCCCCTCTCTCTGACCCTCCCCTGCTCACGCGGTCTCTCTCTCTCTCAGACATATATAAAACATTAAAAAAAGAAAAAATCGCCTATAAAAAAAAAGGTAAATGGCATTGTTAATGACACTAAATATCAATAAATAGTGGCCAATAAATGACGCAGAGGGTCCACATGTGCAACAGTGCTTAGGAGAGCAAACATGAAAGAAACAAGGGTCTTGCCTATCTAAACAGGCAAACAAATCTTCCTTGACGGCACACAGACAATAAAAAAGTAAACCTAATAGGGAGTAGCTGTTTAAGAGCCAGGAATTAAGCCGCTGTCTTCCAGCCCCACAGGCACCCTTCCACATACTGTTATGCTGGCCTGCCTGGGACTGGGTAAACCATCTCACCTCCAATTCTAATGGTTTCCTGTTAAAGTCCGTCACTAGGGGTGCCGAGAGCCAGGACGGTGAAGGAAGAAGGGACCTGCTCCTTCTGTGTCTGTAAAACCCTAGCAACTCTGCCAGGAGGCTCTTGCAGCAGCAGGTTTTCTAACCCTCAAGAGACCAGCTCCCCACCCACCACAGACTAGCTCCTCACAGAGGAATTATTAAAACACCTCTACATTTTAATAATTGCAACCTCGTTTTCCCAGCTTAGGAGTAGGAGCTGTTAACTGTAATTACTACCTCCACGATACTTTCGTGTTTTGTGTTTGCATTTTTAATTCACCACGCCCATCTAACAATTCTTTATATTAAATTCTCTCTGTAAAAATAACTGTTGTGGGTTTCGTCTCCTGAATGAACCCTGGTGGATGGAGCTAGTACTTAGTTTCTAACTCTATGCATTTTTCTTCATGGTAATAATTCAACATATTCTAATGTATTTCAACCACATCAAATGTATATCCTAAGGGACAAGTGACTTTAAAATCTATCCAATTAAAAACATTAAATAATACTATCTCCCCAATTAAGTTTACCATCTACCAAAGGAAATATTAATACTTCAGAACTGGATTTACAAAATTAACATTGTCCTTGGGACACCTGGGGGGCTCAGTCAGTTAGGTGTCCAACTTGGGCTCAGGTCATGATCTCAAGGCTCATGGGTTTCAGCCTCAAGTCGGGCTCTGTGCTGGCAGCTCAGAGCCTGGAGTCTGCTTTTGATTCTGTGTCTCCCTCTCTCTGCACCTCCCCTGCTCATGCTCTGTCTCTAGCTCTCAAAAATAAACATACGTTAAGAAAATTTATAAAAAAATTAATATTGTCCTAATAAAAAAAACCACTGAGGATTCCCAAAGGTATTTAAGAAGCTCCTCAACTTTAAAAAAAACAAACAAAAACCTTTGAAGATCCATCTTGTTGTATGTCAGTTTTAACAGCAATGAGAGATGGACCACAGAACAGTATAACAAAGTTGTAAAGCAATATAAAATGGCAAATTAAAAGCAATGACAATTTAATAAACTAAAAGGCATGAATGCATAATTGCTACAGAACTCTCAATTATAAGGGTAAATAAATTAGTTATTCCCTAGATATTATAAAAAAAATTGAGTAACAATAAAACTCTCAACCCTGTGCCCATGATCAGTCTTAGTAACTAAGAGATTAACTGAAAAGAATTAGTTTAAGCAAAGAAACAAAAAGAAGATACCTAATCGTATTATCTTAACATCTCATAACATACTACATTCATTTACCAATTAAATCTCTAAATATGGGGGTTTTTTTTTAAAGTTTTTTTTTTAAGTCATCTCTACACCCAGTGTGGGGTTTGAATCCATGACCCCCAAATCAAGAGTCACTCTCTCTCTTCTGACTGAGGCAGCTAGGCACCTCTGAGTCTCACGGTTTTTGGCTTTTCTTTTTAAATTTTAACACTATTTTTGAGAGAGAGACAGCATAAGCAGGGGAGGGGCAAAGAGGGAGACACAGAATCCAAAGCAGCCTCCAGGCTCAGGGCTGTCAGCACAGAGCCCAATGAGGGGCTCAAACTCATGGACTATGAGATCATGACCTGGGCCAATGTCAGGTGCTTAACCGATGGAGCCACCCAGGCGTCCCGAGCTTCATTATTTTTAACAATGGGTCTCTGACAGGAAAGCACAAGCCTAGATTTTTATGACTTCTTCCCGATCTTCCACAGCTGCCCTGCCCAGCCCAGCCCCCACTGCAACAGAAACTTCTTTAGGGACTTGTCCTTATCAAGTAATTCCTAAGTAGTCAACACAATTTTTGTAAAAGCAATTTTCTTTCCTCTTTCTTTAAATATAGGTTGTTCACTTATATACCACTTCTTGCAAAATGCTTTGTTACAGTAACCAGAGGAACCATGAGGCAAGTCTGAGAACAAATAACTGGCTCCTGGAAAGTGCCCTGTCCGCTGCTAGAGGAGACGCGCACAGCTGTCCCAGAGCTGAGCCAGCTGACAACTTTGGTGGCTCCCGAGGGGACGGCACGATCTTACGGAGGGACGGAGGAATGAAGGCAGATCGGAATGAAGACTTACTGCAGCCTACACGCGGCTTCCAAAGGGCATCTTATGGAGGACAGAACGTAAGCTCCAGCACAGTAACCCACCGGCTACAACGCAACGTCAGAAACCTTCAAGGGAGAGCAGAGCATCGGAACAAATCCCAAAGGCCGGAAAGACGTGCCACAGACTAAGGACACACACAGGAAAAGTCTAATTTTTAAAAAGTCACAATTCCCTCTGATGGTAATGCCTTTTACTACCCAGTGAGTTATGCCCGAGGAGCAGGGCTGAATAACTGGAGGGGAGGGGAGGGCAGGTGGGGTAGAAATTACATGGCTTCTGAAAGCCCCACAGGAACTGCAGAGTAAGGCTACGAGCATCACTAAATGTAGCCTTATGAACAGCTGAGATGTGACAATTAGGCTCTGCCCCTGGACACGGGCGTTACAGAATTTCTCAAGAACTTGCATAGTTTTGGGGCGCCTGGGTGGCTTAGTCGGTTGAGCGTCCGACTTTCGCTTAGGTCATGATCTCGCGGTTCGTGGGTTCGAGCCCCACGTCGGGCTCTGTGCTGACTGCCAGCTCAGAGCCTGGAGCCTATTTCAGAGTCTGTGTCTCCCTCTCTCTCTGACCCTCCCCTGCCCACGCTGTCTCTCTCTCTCTCCTAGAAATAAATAAAAATATTAAAAAAAAAAAAAAAAAAAGAACTTGCATAGTTTTGAAGAGCTGACCCCAATCTATCTCACTCTTACCTTTGAAAATCGTTTTGTATAAGCAGAGCTGCTGCTCGGGGCAGTGTGCCGGGTATGTGAAGAGTCTAAGGGCAGAGGACAAGGGGATCCCGTCCTTCCTTATCTCTCATATGAATAATAAGTAAACCCTTTGACAGTCCCAGTTTGCCTAATGCTTCCCTTCTCCTTGGTTTTGATCGTGTGGCCAACAAAACAGAAAAGGATCTCTGCGTCGGGGAAAAATCTGTTGGACAAACTGTTCCACCTCACAATCACTATTCCATTTTCTGACAGAGCCTTCAAGTTCACCTAAAAGATACTATCAAATAGTTTTAGCGCCAACAAGGAGAATGAATTCCACAGGCAGAGTCAAGATGAGTGATGGGTTCTAATGTCATACTACCGCAAGAAAAGGACAGCGCGTGTGCACACGAAAGGGAGAGGGATTTAAGTAAAGCGAATCTGCGAGCCGGGGCGGCACAAGGCTGCGGGGAAGAGCAGTGTTGGCCTCCGACTCGACAGAGCTCTTTCAGACACGGGTGGGGTGACGATCACACCGGAACATACCGATGGGCAAAAACAACAGAACAGATTTGCCCAGTTGTCCACGCGTTCTAAACCAGGGGTCAACACACTTTTTTTGTAACGGGCAGAGAGGAAGTATTTTAGACTCTGTGAGCCATATGGTTCCTGATGCAATTACTCAACTCTGCTGCTGTAGCCGGAGAGCTGCCACAGACAATGTGTAAAATGAATGAGCAAGGCCCTGTTCCAATGAAGCTCTATTTATGGACACTGAAATTTAAATTTCATTTCGTTTTCACATATCACACAATCTTATTCTTCTTTTGAATATTTTTAATCATTTAAAATGTAAAATAAATAACTAAATAAAAGCATT